GCAATAATGTCAGGTACATCACAGTATAATAAAATTTTTATCCAAATTTCGTCAGGGAAGATCGTAGGATCCATAATTGCTAATAAAAATTATACAAAACGTACAATTAACAGTTACTAATACAAGATTGCAGACACTCCCCAGAAATAGGGAATACGTTAGTCAAGTTCAAGGTTACAATGGTAAAATATTGAATCAATATGTTATCAGCGGGTGGTATTGATGAAATGAAGTATATCAAAATTAAACATTACTTTCAGCACTGAAATCCAATTATGCTCCTTTAAAATATTTTTATTTTAAATATTTGTAATATATGTAGCGTTTATTCAGATTACCAGTATAGGTATTGTATTCTTTTTAGTTTTATGCATATGATTATTATATATAAGTGTATTATTGTATATGGAATGTTATAATTAGATGATGTGGATATATTCATTCGACAATTATTTTATTACAAAATATTATATATTTGTACAAAAACTAGTAAGTATTGTAGAACATCATTTCTAACATTTTCCCTTTTGTACTTAAATATAAATAATGATAATACTGCTCATCTTATTCACGTTTTCATTTCATTTATGAGGCTGCAAGGAGAGCGTAAGGATTTTTGTGTGACAAAACTTCTTCTTTAAATATTGAAACTTTTCGTTCTAACTCAGAATCAGATAATGATTTATCTAAATTCTTACACTTGTCAATAAATTCCGAAATAAGAACTTCAGCTTCCTGTAATATTACAATTAAAAATTAAATTGTATTAGGAAACAGTAAATTAGATGTTTTTCATACAAGTATTGCTACCTTGATAATTTTTCGTTTTTTATATGGATTGTCAGACCCTTCAAAAACTGAATTTTGGTAATATTCAAGTTCTTCTTGCTTACGCTTAGCGAACTAAAAGAGATATTAATTTCTTAGTGACTTGTCAAACATAATTGAAGTTTGAGCATGCAAGACGAAAGAAAGTATTACCTCTATCACATCTTGCGGCAAGCCAGCCATTTTAGCAATATGAATTCCAAAACTTTGATCGCATATACCCGGTTTTACTTTATATAACAATGTTAATTTATCATCATCAACGAGAGCAGTCACATGTTCATTCCTGACGCCAGGTATTTCTTCTTCTAGTCTAGTTATTTCATGGAAATGTGTCGCAAACAAGCAAAAACATTTAACTTTCTTCGCCAAATACCTGTAAGAAATGATATAATTAAAAATAGGAAAATACAAAATTTTAAAAATATTTATTTTAGTTTGCATCTTACTCCGCAATTGACCAAGCTATACCACAACCTTCGTACGTAGACGTTCCCCTGCCTAGTTCATCAATCAATACGAGAGAATTGCATGTTGCTGACTATTTAAATTGCAGAACACATAAGTAATTTTATATATATTATATACATAAATTATTTAGTACTTTATGCAAACATTAGTTATTTGAACTTACTTTTAATACAGACGTAGTTTCCATCATTTCCATCATAAATGTAGAGAGACCTTTTAATTGTGAATCATCTGCCCCTACACGGGATAATATGGAATCTAATAGTGATATTTTTGCATTGTCACAAGGAACAAAACTACCAATATGTGCCATTAAAGCAGCAATCCCAATGGATCTTATATATGTACTTTTACCTCCCATATTTGGACCAGTTATTATAGAAAAATGGTTATCTCCTAGAATTTTAACGATTGTTAGAAAAGTGAATGTACATTACAGTTTATCTTAACAACAGAAAATTACCTCTTTTAAAATTAACATCGTTGGCTATATAATCTATTCCTTCCTGACCTTCCAAACATGGATGTCGAACTTGGGTAAGATGAAATACGCCTGATTCGCTAGGTAACATTTCAGGACGAATATACTGTTTGTTGGCACTTACAGCGGCAGTTGCAAAGGCAGTAAGCACGTCAAGATAGGCAATTATGTTTCCAGCTATTTTTATCTGGCTAGTATAAGTAGCTGTATAATTACAGTATAATATAATACATATTACATATTTATTTTCTTAGCTAATTATTTACTTCTTCATTTACAAACCTGCAATTTCTATTACATCTGCAACAACTTTTTTTTGCTCTGCCATGTATTTACTTTTGACAGAAGTGTACTCGTTATTCAGATCATTTAGTTGATCAGTTTGAAATCGCACGCCACTTTTATTGGAATCCAAAATAGAGTATTTATTTTTATTTCTCAATGCCTCTTCTTCTTTCATTGTCACGCGGAAATGATAGCCAAATTGCGGATTCGATTCTAATTTTAGCGATTTACCATGTTCGAGAGAAAGATCGTCGGCGACTTTACGCGATACTGACTGTAATTTCTTCTCTATTTTTACCATAGTATCTTTCAAATCTAATGACGACAATAGATGAGTTTATACACAAATATAAATTTATGTATAAAATACGAAATGGAAAATTGTATGTATTGTATACCTTTTAAATTATCACCAAATTCAGCTTTTACTAGGAAATCTCCTCTCTCAGCAGCTTCTAAATCAATTGTATGTTCAATCATTTGCTGAAATTTGTCTATGTTTTTGATAATGTCTTTTAAAGGATCAGTGATCATTGTCTTCATAGCTACTATATCTGTGTTGGAAAATTGTTCAAGTAATCCAGGTAACTCTGACACACACATATAAATCCTGAATAAGTCAAATAAAAAGAGGATACGAGAATTAAAGAACGTATACGTAATTTATCATGTATTATACATAAAAAGAATATATAATTACTTATAACAATCTTGCAAGGTTGCTTTCTTTCTCGCCAATTTTTTCGCAAATACTTCAAAGTCAAGCATGCGTTTTAAATAATCATTGTTGAGATTTGATCTTAATTCATTACAGTTTACTAATTCTTCAACAATATCGTGTCGTTCTTTTATAAGAGATAAATCTTTCAAAGGTTGTCTAATCCATTGAGCAAGAAGCCTGTGTCCTTGAGGTGTGCGACATTTATCTAAAAGCGTCAAAATACTTGCAGGTGTACTTTCACACAAAATGGAAGTGTTATCACCACAAGGTTCAATGTTAAGTGCTTTTATAGCTGCTGAATCCAATTTCAGATAACGTGACTGCTGTATTTGGTCTATGCTAAATTGATTCAAGTTTCCCTCTTCCGACGTTAACTAATAGAAAATTATAGTCTTGAAATCTTTTATGTCCGTATGTATTAAAGTTTTTTAAAATTCGTTACATGTTTAATACTTACATCTAAATATTTGATAAGAGCAGAGATAGCTGACATTGCAAAATCTAAATGAGCTTCGGGAAGACATTGCGCATTTGGTTGTTGAGATTTATTGAATTTAATTAAAGTATTCAAATCTTGTATAACAGATTCACTGGAAAATTCACTTTTCCTTCTTGTAGTAACCAGAACATTATTTCTCTCCATGACCTAACAGAAAAATTATTATAATACATTATGTCACTTTAATTGTCTATATTACAGAATTGAATTGTGAGCTTACTTGCTTTAGAGTTTCAAACTCATAACTCCCTTCACCATGAATCAACAAACATTCTTTAGGAGCAAGTGTAACAACAAGTGACTCCAAATCCGAGAATGATTCATTATCTTTAAACTCACAAACAGAGAATGAATTTGCTGTAGTATCTACACAACTCAAACCGACGATCTGGAGAACATTATAAAATACATTAAATTTAATTACAACTATTGTTCTTATAAAAAAGTCTGTATGACTTACTCTATGTTTCCCTTCCATTCCCAATCTTACTGCTATCACGCGTACACTAACAGAAACATCATTATTGCCAAAAAGTATATCTTCAAAATGTACCAGATTTCCAGGTGATCCTTTATACTGCAATACCCAATTATGATCTCTACTTGTTCCTTGATTAGCATACACTTCTACTCTGTATTGTTTTACTAATAATAAATCACGTATGAAAGACTCAAAATGATTTTTATTAAGTATTACACCCTCAATTTTTTGTGAACCTATAAGAAACAAAATTTATTATCTCCAATATATTTGAAATTATATTGATACCTTAAAACTTCACCTTCTCCTATTATTTTACACACAGAAGTGGTATTGAAAACTTCCTGAGCAGCAAATAATGCGTCACTACCATGTAGCGTGTAATAGTCCAATCTATTGAAGAATCGGATAGTAGTATTCAGTTTCTGAAATTAATTATTATTTCGTCACATTAATATTGAAAAACACGAGAATCAATTAAAGATTTAATAGTACGTAACTTGATAATGCGTGTATTCAGATTGTAATAATGACCGAGAGCTTATCCTTTTAAGCATCCTCGACCTATTTCTATACGTTATTAATTTTTGTGATCAGCATATCCCTTTAAGATGACTAACTGAAGTAGCAATGATGGTAGGACTACTACGAACTTATAGTGCATTTACTAATTCAAGAAATGCGCCAGACTTTACCACAGAAAACTACATATTAACTTGTTATATTAAATAATCCATGTATTACAAAAAAAGGAAACTGTTGATACAAGAATTACGATTATTGACAAATCAAAACATAACAATTGCTTCCAAGAAAAGAAGAATCTTATTACGTATCTGTAGGTCAATGTCTATCTAGGGTCAGACAGTCGTGAACTGATTAATGTAATTTCAAGGAAAATCTGTCACTTTATAGCAAGTATTCAACATTAATTTAAAGATGCATTGCATATTAATTTATAATAAGCATTGATTTATTTTTAGAAAATATTGAAATTAATTTGTAAAGACAGGTACAATAGAGCATTATGAAGTGTATATTTATTGATTAATTTCTCATTAATTATATACGTTAATTAATTCTATGTATAAAACTATTACGTATTTGAGTGATATAATACTCGTGACACAAATTTCTATAAATCATGTGTAATTCAAAAGAAATAGAGTGGAAAATCCAACAGGGAAGACCAGAAATCTCAGTAACATTATCTTAGAACTGTTTTTATTCTGAGATCACAGTTCATGTTCCAGGAAGGTCAGTAATACGCATTTTAAGTAGGCCATTATGAATGCACTGTTAACTATCTCAGTTTGATTTATTGAAATATATAATTGAAAGAATTTAGAAATTAAAGGGTGTCTTATTAATTGCTTATTGATTTGTATACTACTGAAAACAATGTGCAAAAAAATTTAAAATATGAGAAGATCAGATGCACCGATGCACGTTGGTCATCTCACTTGTCACCTTGAATCATGCCTATTATGAAATACGAATAAATTAAATAGTCACAACCAGGATGTTATAGATTTAGAATGACATCACCAATGACACATCAAGTCAAATTTGTATTACTAGTATCAAAACCTATAATTATATTATAAAGAGATGATATAATGAATTTAATCATGTTCTAATTCTAAGAATTTTAGGCAGAAACAATTTTCTTTTTACTGCCATGTGCTGATTATTTAGTATGTAATATTTATAATAAGATGAACGTTTAATATTAACTTGCAAATCAAAAAGTAGAAATCTTCGTTAGTGTTCCTTTTCAGAGAAATGGATATTTGTTAGTTTTGAATCAATGTGAGTTATTGGTATTGATAAGGATATGTATGAGCTAAATGTACAGAAAACATCATGTAAGATTGAAAGAGAATGTTTTTAGAGATGAGGTACAAAGAAGGGGAAGCAGACATAAATTGAATTGCTCCAACTTCCATGTAGTAGATATCAATATACTGCCACTGAGATCATCTCAACCAACAGTCTGTTCTCTAAGTCAACTAATTTTTGGCCTTTCGCCACAGAGGTAATTAAATTTCTTTTAAATCTTTTAATAATTATTTTATTGTTTTTATATATCATAGTATATCTATTATAATATATTAAGTTTAATTTATAATATCAGTATTCATAAACATTCATTAAGTAAATTTTACGTTTCAGAGACCAAGTCATTAATATGGTGGCTCGAAAGATATTAATTTTATTTTTCTTAACAACGCAAGCATTATCGGCACCAACTGGCTGCACAGAATATTGTGGTTCATATCATCAACAATATCAAACGCAAAGTTCAAATGCTTTCCAAGGCCAAACTGACTTATCAGAAATTGCATCACGTTTACAGGGCCTTGACTATTCAAGACCCGGTACATGGTCACAGCATAAGGACTATAATGTAGACAACGGGCATGGGAAAGTGCATGAAGAACATGGTCAAATTGTTGACGGACCGAAAACAGTAAGATACTATCAGAAAAATTATAGTTCTTCTTACAGTACGAAATATCCTAACACTGGAGGATCGAATATCGAATACCAGAACAACAGATATGGTGTACATGTACCTACGGATAATACCTTCGATTCTCAGAGGGCTTATAGCCAAACGGGTACTTCAAGGTCAACTACAGAGCAAAATAGGTATAACCAATTAGGAAGTCAACAACATACTCAATCTACATTTATGAAAACTAATGCTCAAAGTGAAAGATTTGAAAATTTTCGAGGAGATAGTGAAAATTTACAAGTGCAGCAGCACGGTTTACCTGATTTTAATACTCAACATACGCAAGAATCTTACGGTACTAATACGCAACCTGGAAATTGGAAAAGAGTAGATTCGTATAAAACTGATGGGGGACATGGTCGCGTATTCACCGAAGAAGGTCAATACGTTACGGGAGACAAAAAGGTTCGCTACTATAAACAGAATTATACGTCCAATTACAGTTCGCTTGACGGAATACCTGTTCCTGATGTATCAAAAATTGGCATTCAAAATATTCAACAGGAAGTAGACAAACTACACAAAGATATTGCAGGATTAAGTCAATTATCGACAACTAATACCATGGGAACCAGCAATATTGGTATTCCTCATACGATGTCCAGTAATTACGGAGCTCGACATTATGATAGTACTCTATCTGAGACACAACGCAATGAACAATCTATCTCAGATACTACTCGTGGACGGTTACCTTATAGAAGCTCTTCGCAAAAAATTTTTAATCCCACGCCTGGATATACCAATGTACACAGTACAGAAAGCAGTGGGTACAGTAAAAGCATACACAGTGACTCAACTTTACATCATCAGGTAGAACAGTCAGAAAATTTAGATGAACATCAATCAAAACTTGTTCAAAATCAAATGTTCCTTGACAATTTGAGAAACAGTGCCAACATAGGCAGTGTAATTCCTTCAGGCTCGACAGGACGAGTGCCTTATAACGTACATTGGAGTTCGAGTCAGACTAAAGAAATCTCTGGAATACCGCACTATACAAGAAATATGAATCAGTATAATTTACAGAATTATAATCAATATGGAAATGGACACACAAATCAAGGATATTCACATCAGATTGAAGAAAGTGGTTACACTTCAAGTCAAAAAGCACAGTCAGGAAAATTGATAACTGGAGAAATTGATTTAGGACATGGCGAAGATACGGTAGATTGTGCATATGATTCACACACCCATAGCAATTATCAGCATCAAACGAAATATAAACGTAATACAAACCGTGAAGAAGAGCAGCAGATCGATGAGATTGTTCAACAAACTTTTGGAAACACAGAATTCGATCAACACTCACAACAATCTTATGATCCATGGAAACCACATACTGGAAATCAAAAGCTAGAAGACCTTACCCAAAAAACCCATCAATTCGATGACCTTACTCAGCAAACGTCTGGGAAGCTTGAATTCGGACAAGAATCCCAACAGAGTTATCAACCCTGGAAGCCGAATACAAATAAAAATTTAGAAGATCTTACTCAACAAACATCTGGGAAGCTAGAGTTTGGACAAGAATCCCAACAGAGTTATCAACCCTGGAAGCCGAATACAAATAAAAATTTAGAAGATCTTACTCAACAAACATCTGGGAAGCTAGAGTTTGGACAAGAATCCCAACAGAGTTATCAACCCTGGAAGCCGAATACAAATAAAAATTTAGAAGATCTTACTCAACAAACATCTGGGAAGCTAGAGTTTGGACAAGAATCCCAACAGAATCATCAACCTTGGGAGTCCACAGGAGACAGTCTTACACAGGAAACAGATCAATTTCATGATCTCACACAGCAAACGTCAGGGAAGCTTGAATTCGGACAAGAATCCCAACAGAGTTATCAACCTTGGAAGCCGAATACGAATCAAAATTTAGAAGATCTTACTCAACAAACATCTGGGAAGCTAGAGTTTGAGCAAGAATCCCAACAGAATCATCAATCTTGGGAGCCCAAAGGAGACAGTCTTACGCAGGAAACAGATCAATTTGATGATCTCACTCAGCAAACGTCTGGGAAGCTTGAATTCGGACAAGAATCTCAACAGAGTTATCAACCCTGGAAGCCAAGTGGTACAGATCCAAATGTAGATGATACTACACAAAAAACGTCTGGGAAACTCGAGTTTGGACAAGAATCCCAACAGAATCATCAATCTTGGGAACCGAAAGGAGAAAGCCATACACAGGAAACAGATCAATTTGATGATCTCACTCAGAAAACGTCTGGGAAGCTTGAATTCGGACAAGAATCCCAACAGAGTTATCAACCCTGGAAGCCGAATACGAATCAAAATTTAGAAGATCTTACTCAACAAATATCTGGGAAACTAGAGTTTGGGCAAGAATCCCAACAGAATTATCAACCTTGGGAGCCCAAAGTTGACAGTCTTACACAGGAAACAGATCAATTTGATGATCTCACTCAGCAAACGTCTGGGAAACTTGAATTCGGACAAGAATCTCAACAGAGTTATCAACCTTGGAAGCCGAATACAAATCAAAATTTAGAAGATCTTACTCAACAAACATCTGGGAAGCTAGAGTTTGGACAAGAATCCCAACAGAATCATCAATCTTGGGAGCCCAAAGGAGACAGTCTTACGCAGGAAACAGATCAATTTGATGATCTCACTCAGCAAACGTCTGGGAAGCTTGAATTCGGACAAGAATCCCAACAGAGTTATCAACCTTGGAAACCAAGTAGTACAGTCCAAAATGTAGATACTACTCAACAAACATCTGGGAAACTAGAGTTTGGGCAAGAATCCCAACAGAATCATCAAACGTGGGAGCCCAAAGGAGACAGTCTGACACAGGAAATAGATCAATTTGATGATCTTACTCAGCAAACATCCGGGAATCTTGAATTCGGTCAAGGATCTCAACAGAGTTATCAACCTTGGAAGCCGAATACAAATCAAAATTTAGAAGATCTTACTCAACAAACTTCTGGGAAGCTAGAGTTTGGGCAAGAATCCCAACAGAGTTATCAACCTTGGAAGCCGAATACAAATCAAAATTTAGAAGATCTTACTCAACAAACTTCTGGGAAGCTAGAGTTTGGGCAAGAATCCCAACAGAGTCATCAACCTTGGAAGCCAAGTAGTACAGTCCAAAGTGTAGATGATACTACTCAACAAACATCTGGAAAAATAGAATTTGGGCAAGAATCCCAACAGAATCATCAATCGTGGGAGCCCAAAGGAGATAGTCTTACACAGGAAATAGGTCAATTCGATGACCTTACTCAGCAAACATCCGGGAATCTTGAATTCGGTCAAGAATCTCAACAGAGTTATCAACCTTGGCAGCCAAATCGCGCACAGCATATAGATGACACATCGACACCTTCTACGCAAAGTCATCCCAAGCCTGCAGAAAAGCCGAAGCCAAGGTCGCGATACTCGAAACCAGCAGCTAATGTACAGTTTCCAAGTCAAGGTATGGATATTAATAACCAAAAAACTGAAAATTCTTCTTTAGGAGATGTAGATGCTTTAGATATTAATGAGATACCTCCAGAAATTGATGCAGGTGCTGGTACAAACATTAGGGATCAAAATATAAGGGGAGACCAAGGTATTACGAGTTCCACCAATAAAGACTCTTCTAAGCCCTTAAAAGAAACTGAGATTAGTGCATACGATGTTGAAGGAGCAAATGTGGATCAAGAAAATTGGTTACACAAATCGAACGATGCAACTGTGGGTTTACAATGGCATTATACATATCATCCAAGTGATCAGAGACAATTTGTACAACAAATAGATCAGAAGAATAAAGAGGGTCAACAGGAGTTAACAACCATTTCACAACAGGCTCATGAGGAAACACAAAATAAACATGTAACTGCTGATAAGAATCAACAGTCTCAATATTACGCATCTGAACCTGGAGTAAAAAGTGTTAGGAGGAGAGTTCATCTAATGCAAACGCAAAATACATTAACATCTGATCAACAGGCAAGTGATCTTGCAAATATACAGAAGAAAGATGTTGAACAAAATGAATCTCAACCTAAATTGGAACCAAGAATTTTGGAAGCTTATGGAGGAGGAGAATATGATCCATTTCACAGTGATGACATATATGCAGGAGTAACAATAAATCCTAGTGCTACTTTACTACCTGTACATAACGAAGATCCATGGTATATTCGAGAAAAACCAAAGGACGTGATGACAGAGTTAACACCTCCACCATTACCTGTAGAACCCTTAGACATAAACGATACGCCAACTACTGAAGCAGCACCTCCACCATCATTTTGGTCACGAATTGGTCATAAAATAACGAACACTATTGATAAAGCTAAAAGTTCTGTTGATAAAGCTAGAGAAAGAGCCAGGACTATTTTTGGCTAATCATTATTTATGAATAATAAATTTGTGATACTAAAAAATTTATTATTGCAAGAATCGTTGCTAGTATTGTATACTATATTATTACTAATAATATCATAAAATTGATCTAGTATTACAGACATATTCGATTTCATTCTGTTATTTAAATAAAGTAATGTATTTTTTACATCCTTCTTTCTATCTTTTGATATTTAATGTTAGATATGAGCATAGTTAAATCAGTTAATAAATAGTTGAAATAATATTAGTAATAAGTAATAAGAATATATGAAATGTTTACTTACTTCTGGCATGTTCCGAAAAAATTTAACAAAACCAACTTGTGTTGGTGGATCTGAAATATATTTCACACATTGTTTATAGATTAAGAATGTAAAGAAGGTTAGGAAAATTACATTATGTTGCACCAACCCATATTAAATTGTTGGTTTGGTTGAACAGCCATTTTTATACACAAAGATTTAAATATTAAATACTCTTAAAAAATTACGATTTTCTTTATAATAGTAATACAACAGATTAAATAAAATTCTGTATTGTTTATATCTAGTTTGTATCACGACGATCACATTTACCACGGAGAAGAAGGGAGGAGAGTCACGATAGAGCGCTTGCGTTTCTGCGCTGCGCACTGCTAGTTTTCGATCATCTCTCTCTTTCTCTTTAATGCTGTCTATATCGTCGCCAGTACTCAGATCTACGTATTAGTACGTATTCGGTTACCCCGGTTACCCTTACTACCTCCAAGCTGCGCGAAACGGGCATGCTTTCTCACGGCGCGGCGACAATAACCAATAAACCATAGATCTGACCATGCAATAAACAATATATTCTAGAGAATATAAAAAGTTGTCGATCTTTTCCTGCGACGGCGAACTAACACTGGGTGAAGTGCGGAGCCCGTCATCCTGTGGTGGATAATATGGTCTCTATGATGGTCTGTGATGGTCCGGTACGGTGAGCCGGTGAATATGTCATGTATTTTTATAAATAAAGATCAAAGCCTGTACTACTGTAATTGTAATTGGCTATAATATAATAGTTTACAATTATTTTATGTATTCTCTTAACAGTACATATAATTTGCTAATTTCGTCATGTAAACGATGTTTAATATTAGCATATAAAATGAAAGGTTAATCACTTATAGTACTGTCAATTAAGAATTGTATTTTGTTTTTGTGTGTTCTGGATTAAACATTGTGTGTATGTAAATTAAGTAGAAGTGTTTGTAATACTCGTCGATATCATATTTAAAACGTTTATACAAGATTGTACGTTGTACAATATGTATAAGTATATTTATATGATTTAAAATTATATCATAAAAAAATCAGTGCACAGAAAAATACGAAATTTATATAGGCATTTACATATGACAGGATTTTGAATTTAAATTTTTATTTCCTGTGTATTACTTTCGAAAATAAGAGAATAAATGCATAGATTTTCATCCGGTTTTTTGATCAGTCAGATTGTTTTATTGAAACAAGTTCTGTTTAATGTAATTTTTCATGATTCCTGTCATGTAACTATTATTAAAAAATGTAGCATCAAGTAATAATTCTAGATTTAATGCTTATCAATATAAGAATACGTAACACGTTGACTGCCGCGTCACCCATATTCGGGTGACAGCAAAATTTCTTCAAACTGATCGTGTAGAGTGGCGAGGTATTAAGTGACGACCTTAGGAATTTAATAATGGAAACAAATGATCAAACATGATATCATGCAAACAAATGAAACGGGAAATTGTTGCGAGTACGCTTGGCGCAGCAGCACTCGTGGCCTGAAGAATATTTTATTGGAAATACGCGCGGCAGTCAACGTGTTAAGCAATATGCCCTTATCAGTATGATAAGGATGTAATTTTGCTTGTTATCTCGACATATCGGACACTATATACACAAAAGACACTCAAAGCTTTTCTTCGTGATAGCCAATATAACGAGCAACAATAAATATCAATCATCCTGCATTTAAGCCCTACTACTGCTAACTCATGGGAGGCAACTGTACTGCACATTTTACAATTTACTTTATGAACGGCTTCAATCGTGAATGTGTTACGATCTTCTTGTAGTGTCTTTTGTCCTGGAATATCTGTCAACAAAAGATTATTTACGAAATTCCGTTAATGATAATGCATTGTTTTTTCGACTATATTTTATATATGGAGAAAATATTGAATTATTGAATAATATATCTCACGATTTCTTGTTCGTAATCTTAGTGAATTGCATACCATTTTGAAGTGAAATAAGTGTATAAAAGAAATACACGCTTTTCGAGTAAGTAGCTTATGTTTTTAAATACATTTAATTATATTAAAGCGAAGGTTTGTTGACTTGATGTTATGTTTGCAAAAGCTGTTTAAAGACTACTTTCAGGAGGACTGTCGAAATAATTTTTATACATAAAATGGAAGTAGAAAACAATGATGCCGTATTGATACCGGGTCAGTGTATTCGTCCGCCTGGAAATAAAGAAATAGCTACGAAGTTGTTAAAAGAACTTTACAACTTGACCGCCTTAAGCGTAACCGACCTAAACGCGTATGATGATAGGAATTATCACGTAATTTGTGACGGCTCGCATACGAATCCGCATATAACAAATATTAGCGAATGCGGTTACGTTTTAAAAATCGTCAATTCTTTAGATTCAAAAAAAGAACATGTGATTGAAGCACAGACTGATATGCTGATCTTCCTCAACAAGCGAGAGATCACCTGTCCTCTGCCCGTGAAAAATGTACACGGACTGTATCATACTTTGGTTGAATTGAACGCTGATGGATGTACCGGAGATTACGTCGTGAGACTATTGGTTTATCGACCTGGTGAGTTACTGCGCCACGTTCCGATTACCGGAGAACTGCTTCGAAACGTCGGCAGTTTCACCGCGAAGCTGAGTAATGTTCTACTCAATTTTTCCCATTCGGCTTATAACGAGCACAAGACAATGTGGATGTTAAATTCTGTGCCGAAATTACGGCAATTCACTTACGCCGTCAAGAATGCGCTCGAAAGGGAATTGGCGCATCAGGTAATCCTCGCTTTCGAGAAGGAAGTGCTTGAGATCGACCTGCGACTTGAGCACGGCATGATACACGGTGACTTAAATGAACAGAATCTGGTAGTGAGCTCGAACGGTAGGGAGATAGCTGCCGTAATTGATTTTGGGGATTCTCATCGGACGAGCCTGATCTTTGAGTTAGCGATCACATTATGCTACATGATTTTACAAGCTGGCGATATAGCGATGGGTAAACACGTCATCGAAGGATATCAAGATATAAGGAAGTTGACAGAACCTGAGAAGAAAATTTTGAAGACCACTGTCTGCGCGAGACTTTGTCAGAGTTTGGTCATGGGTGCTTATTCCCATCTCTACGATCCGCAAAATGATTATCTCCTTAGTACACAGAAATCTGGATGGACTTTACTAAAAAAACTGTGGCCTCTTAGTCAAGATGCGATACTCCGAAATTGGGGATTGACAGACTGATTTTCTTTCATACACTTGCGAATATAATATTACGTTACATAATTTATATACAATGTTTAGGACGAAATAGTCAATATTCATGTCAATTATGAACACTGTTCTAGTACTATTTCTTAGACGAGCAATAAAATGAATTTGTATCTTAATAGAATAGCAGTTTATTAATTAGTGATTTAAGATATTGTGCAGTGATATATCCTCTGGTTTTATTCATATTTAGGCAGTTACATATGTACATAGATATAATGAACAATAATGCTCTTCGTATAATAGTGTGGAGTCATTTTACATAATTAGATCGTGGTATATACAAAATTGCAGGTATTACCGTGTGCTTATTGATAGACGATATTAAATAAACGCATATTTTTCGTGATTAGTTCGATTGAATAACATTTACCGTGGACTTAAATGCTAACTAAAACTCATTGAAACATATTGATAATGTACAGAATTTTTCTTATAAATATACTGTGAAACAATATATTTCCATTCTGCATGATACATTCATACTTGCGCTTAAGGTGGTGTTACTTTTATCCGCGTGCGCTTTCTTATGTAGCTGGTAATATATATATATTTTTTTCATCTCGATTTTTCAATAATATACTAATTTATTTATATTTTATTTCATTTATGTCAGTTCGTTTTGGCAAACTGTCTAGCTGTGTTGAGGCAAATTCGTTGATAGCGAAAATCTGTTCACAATATCGTAGGACAAAAAAGATTAAAACAACGTAATTGCTATTTTCAAACATTACATTAATACATCCTTCCATTCCCATTAACATATGTGTATAACATCAATGATTTGAATTGTTTAAAATAATGAAATACAAGAATTGGGATATATAAAGCATTGATAAAGTCATAAGAGCAAAAGAAATTATTGATCGCGTGATTAGAGGCACAGAATTAAATTTTGTTCGGAGTCGACCGGAAAATTGAAACGTCATGTTAACGAATTTTCGCCAGAGGTTATTAACAAAATAGTATATTACAGTCCCTATATATTTTATTGCTTAGGATCTATTGGCTTACATACGCCTGACGAGGCGCTTATAGGCGCGTAATAATTCATTTTATAACTTATACGTCGTTAGTAACTTTTATACTTTTTATCATCCACTATAACTTAACATGTCGTATAATAATTTATATCGAATATCGTTGAACCTAGAAGTAACGCAGCAATAAATACGAATATATTCCTGTGGAAACATAACGAAACGTGTGTAACACACCTCTATTCGGAAGGGTATAGCGGAATGTTTGTGAAGACTCTTTACGATGAGTGTATTGAAAAAATTAACGGAATTACTCAATTTTTGCTAGAAATCGTGCGATGGATGCGTTTCCGCGAAGAAAGATGTACTGAAGAAACGTGTAGCATTTTTTTTGTCAGTCTTCGATAAAAAGTGACGAAAACCTTGCGCGTTTTCGATATGTGAACCGAGAGAGGTCGGATCTTCGCGTTATCCGAAAGATACACGTAAAAAAATAAAGACTCGAAAAATGAACTTTTGTGCCGCCCTTTCACAGCGCGATCGGGATTACTTACTGCTTTCCGTTCACCCTTCTCTCATTCATATGTAACATTTCCATCTAAAAATTTGAACAGCTCTATTGAAGCTCGTCTCTGGTAACACCAACGTACGACGAACTTCGAATTGTCGCGGTGTCTCCTTTCAGGATACAATTATACCTCTCCTATTATAATTCCGTTCTCATTGAACTTCAACAATAAAATTTCTCAACTTTTTGGACGAATGCCGGGATTCCCTTCGTTCTTCTCACGGGGTTACGAGCGTGCGCTATTAGGAGTCGTGCCAAACTACCACGTGATACACGTTCGAAAGTTATAACTTTAATTAGCACATAATTAGGAATCAGATCCTTAACAAAGAGTGCAAGAAGATTCCGACGCTCGGACGCGAACACGTTTTGCTCGAGGGCCACGGACAATAGGATTGGGAACAATTACGAGCGAAAATAATTTGGTCGATACCGTTTCTTCCATACTGTTTTTTTTTACACATTTTTTATCTGTATTCAACGTACGCGTTAGTAGATTCGAACGCGATCCGTTATTTTTCAAATATTTCGGTAAATATTCCTGAAGATAATCTTCGAATGTATTTACCCAACTCGACATTTTCTCCGGGCGTAGTTCTTAATTTAATCATTCTTTTATCTAATGGTTTCATTTCGGAATCAACTCTTATCGATTTGTTGGATCTAGTGACACGATTGACAGCATTGCTTTTGATAAAGGGGTACCTTGCACATGTTCATCGTTTTTACCCTGCTACACAGTTGTGAATGATCTTTACAGTCATCTGAAAGAACAATTTTTAGTTAAATCAACTGTTATTCGTTAAGTGTTCGATGTTAGTTATAATATTTCACCAGGTGTTTGAGGACAGAGGGGTCCCCTACACGTTTTCATAACAGGAGGCCGCGGAATATCTCTGCACGCGTTGCCAGCTGGTTTCTTAGTGCCATACCAAACGCACTGTAAGATTCTATATTTGATACCGTCTTCTTCGCATGATGCTGTACACTACATAAAAGAATATCATAAACATGAAAATTATTACATGCCTTTCAAACACTAAACTTTAAAAATAAGAAAGAATGTCGGCCAATACCTCAGACCATTCCCCAACTCTCCAGACACCCTTGCACGCATCATTATAACATTCTTGCCTCTGAAGAGGTCTAATAGTATCATCGCATTTGTTAGGATCCAGTAACGTAATATTTTGTTGCCCATTTTCCATATCATCTATTAAACGACAAGTAACGTCGCGCCTCTGCATCGCAGTTTTCCAGTTGAAGCATCTGGATGTTTCGCAAGGTGTCCATTCAGTGGTATGCCACTGAGGACATTTACCGAACCCGCAAGGTTTTACCTTTTGCGGTACCGAATGGCCAGCATCCACGCATAACGTTGCTCCTATGACCGTCCGGGGAGGTGTTCGAGTTGTGTTTCCGATTGGTTTCGCTGCACGAACTGTGCACTGAGCTCCTCGCATCTTTATGAGCATAAATTACTGCGATATGGTATTTCTAGTTTGTTTGCGCCTTAACTAAAAGTCAATCTTCTTAAATTACCTGAAATCCGCTTCCTCCGCAAGTTTGAGAACACTTCGACCAATCTGTTGTTACCCACTCAAAAACCAAATCTTCCGAAGTATCTATAAATATCCAATGAAACAAATAAATAGAACGTGGCTATGTAGTTGTAGGACATACATAAAAAGAAGAAAAATTACAAACGAACTAATTTTTTTACCTAAAATGCTGAGAGACATCGAATCGACAGTGGCATTTGGTCCATTAACAATAGTCGTTGTTACAGCTACAGACTTGTTTAGTTTCTCTTCATTAATAGAACGCTGTTGAAAATCAGTTGCGTCCTCGGATGAGCTGTTTCGAGCTTCTTTATTTCGCAACAAATTTTTCATATCTTTTACAATTTCTTCGGATTCTCGATCTTCCGTTAATGCTAAATCGAATAAGTCGTCTTCTGAATGTCTAGTGGTTGTAATTCGGGTGATAGCATCGTCAATTGTATCATTTTCATCGTAAACTTTTCGCTTTTTCATTTCGTCTTCAAAAATTTGCTCATATTCTTTCGTTCTGTTTAGAACTTCTGCTTTTTCATTCTCAGGGCTAGATTTTTCCGAAGCTACCTCTGCTTCTTTAAGTGACATCGTAGGAATTACGCGCTCACTTCCAAAACTATGATAATTATTTCGATCGATCTCTTTGCGATCGAATTCTCCAAAATTCTCAGTACTGTATTTTGTATTTGTATCCAGAGTGTAATGCATTTGCGAAGTAATGCTTTCAGACGTGGTTGAATTATTTATGAGTTCTTTATCTTGATTTTTAGGCGTCGAATTCCAATGATCTTTTATTTCTGACGTATCGTGCCATTGTCTTTTAACATTTTTCAGCGATTCTTCGACGTAATCTACATCGGACTTCACAGATATTATTGGGCTAATTTTATTCACAGTAGGAGTGACTTTTATTGGATCACTGTGTTGTAATCCGAACATGGACTCGTCCAAATCGTACGGATCTACATCGATGAATATCCTTTCTTCGTCAGGCCCGAAAGTTTCATCTGGAATCGCCGTATTACGATGCAGGGTATCCAAATTGTCTTCAACGTTTTGATATCTCAGACCGGAATTTCTGTCTGCCATGGTGCGTTTTGTCACAACTGCTTCTTTTCCTATGTCATCGATGAATGCCACAGGAGCTGTTCTGTGAGACCTTCCTACAGAGCTTTCGCTTTGGAACGGCCAGTATTCCTGTTGAAACATACTTTATACATTTTTTGTACGTGACAACGTATATAGAAAACAAAGCAGATGATTTCATCAGATGAGGATAAGAGGCGTTCCTAGTGAAATATTATTTTAAAACAGGTGAAAGAGTTTTATCTTAATTTTGTTCAAGATTGGACAAATGGTAATGTGTGCAATTATTCGGATCGTCTCACCTTTAATGTCGATATAAAATATGTTAAGTGCGGTACGAGAGTGGAAGCACCCGAACTTGCGGGTGCAGTAGATTCCACAGATTCGTGGTAACCTGGCTGAATATCCATCACCAGAAAAGATTAAAGAGCAGCGAGGAAAAGAATTATTGACGAGAGATTAATTTAACACACAGTTATTAGAGTCATTTATCATCCGATTATTTGTTATCATTTTAGATTTTTTCAATTTTACCTGATTCAACGAAGTTACAGCGTGTTCTTTATGTATCACCGTTAAATCCGGTGGCGTTGGACTAGTCTTCTGCTTTCTCTGATGCGGTTTCCTCGTCGTTTTGCTAGGCCCTGTTCGCTCATGGCTCAAATCTTCACTATCAATGTTAACGAATCTGTTTCCATACGCAGCTGTTATAAAATGTATTTAAATAACTAAAAATGATCAAGGTACAACATGCTAAATATAAAGTTGAATGACATATTGTTATTACTTACCTGCTCGATCCGTGTAAAGGCTCTCGCCTGAATTCGCTGGCGCCGAATCCAAATTCGCGTTTCGTTGCCGATGGACGGAATTGCTCAATCGTAGATACTCTTCGCTACTTATTTGTTCTTTTGAACGAAACTTCACGAATAAGCGCGTCTCCGCGTGCGAATTATCCGCTGCAACACGCGAGTTCGTGCAATCAATTCATTGATTCATTTGTTTACCTATGCACTATTAATTAAATAATTTACGAACCTATACACGCGTAAACGCCCGCATCCGTAGACGTTATATCGTTTATCTTCAAGGCGCCCTTTCTGCTAATCTTATACTTTCTTGATTTTCTTAACTCTTTGTCATCCTTGGTCCATACAATCTGTTCTCTGGAAATATATTAATTTTTATACCAGTTCCACGTTCAGGTTTTCTTAGTACTTTCGCAATTTATTAGATGCCTACTTATCATATTTTCTAACGGGACAACGAATTTTGATGGACGATGTGCCTTGAAACACCGTCGCGATACCGCCGATTTTCAAGTCGACTTTCGCGTTCAAGTCTGTCTGGTTGTAAGTCGTGTTTTGACTGGAAATGATAGGCAGAGACCCGGCATCCATAGCGTGACAAGCTCTGGTGTTGCAAGGTTTCTCTGTGGCGGGCTTTTGAGGTGGACATTCACGATCTTCTCTATTCTGCCTATGCCCCTGAGCCATTATTTGTTCGCAGGTTACTCTGCGTTTTTTCACTCCACCTCCACAAGTTTTTGAGCACTAGAATCACCATCGATCAAACTCTTTTGCACACTCTTTCAGTTAATTCATATTATTGTTTTTGTATAAATAGTATCTCCTCTGAATTCAAATTTAATCATGAGTAATACACATTTTACGCGTGTATTTTGTATTAGCTCTTTGAGAAATATTTGCATTATTACTTCTAATATTAAACTTCAAACACCGTTCAATGGCAAGAAAATGATCCGTGATTTTTATTTTAGCATTTAATATAAAATGATAATGTTGGGGTTTTGGCAAATCGAGTTTTGATCAAATTAATCGGAAAATTAGATTTAATTCCAACGAGTCATAGTGAATCTCTAATCGTGCACTAATCCTGCTATTTAATTAATTGAACACAAGTATGTACCTTGCCCCATTCGCCGGTGCTCCATTTAACCGGGCAGTCCAATACGTTACAGTATTGTCTGTCCGCTGGCGGTGGTTGCGGGCACATGTGGTTTGGCACAGGAACCGTCTTACCTGTGCCACGCGTCACTTCATGTATGCACGTGACGTCGCGCGTTTGTATACCGATTCCGCATGGACTCATACACGGTGTAAATTCACTGAAATTCCATCTGCAGGCAAAAATCAATCGTAATCATTGACTAATCGCAAACAGGATTTGTTTAAATTAAGTGTGATTCAAATTTCGTTTCTATCTCCGTCTACAATTACGCAAATTGCAATAATAAAAAATTCTACAATTGGCATGATGAAGTTTTACCTTGGCGGGCAAGGATGGTCGTTGCAGACCCTTATTCTAGCTTCCGGTTTAGTTTCGGCGGTGCATAGAAAAGGCATCACAGTTTTGCCGGTATCGTCTCTCACGCAATTCACTATCAATTCTTGGACGCCTAAAGTACAATCGCAAAAATAATGGATTGAAATACTTAGTGGAAACGGTTGAACATTTGCATTTCCGCATTTCAACTAAGACAAAGCGACTGATATGACTTTAATCCGATGGTTCGATTCAATCCAATCGTTAATTCGTCGCAGTGCATCGCTAATTGTACAATCGCGCCGAATTATCCCGATTAATTAAACGCTCTATGCGGAACGAATCTAGGTTCGTTCCGTTAATCTTTGCTGATCTGATTACCGATAATTCTCTGACTTACGTTTGTGGCTGATTAGAATCGTCGGGCTATGGTATTTATAGAGCAACGGGCAGGTAACTAAATTAAAGGGAATTTCTAAATATCGGTACAAATTGCGAACGAATTTATTCAAATTAGCAAATGACTTTTTAATTATTGCACCGCTCGTTCTCTTTAATACAGAACTGACATAGTTTTCAACGTTTCTTCGTATGTCGAACATGCAATGTTTGCTAAACAGCCATTTTCCCTGTACAATCGTCGTCACTTTTGAAGTTTCTTGTTTCCCCAACGAATTTGCATTCCATTTTCATCGTGCTGTTTCGTTAAATTCTAAGCCTAGTAGACTTGCCCTAGTTTTACTCCGCGCACTTCAGAAAATTCCCTTACAGCATCCGCCACGTCTTAATATTTACACGGGTTTAATTTCCGTTGTCGGTTTATAAATTATGAGGAAAATGTATTTCTAAGTAATTTTATATGTCTGTTTGCACAACATCTATCGTCGGAATCTCTGGTTATCACATAATTCCATTTTCTAAATCTACTGATATAATTTCTGCATATAGTATAACAGTTTTAAACATAAATTGGAAATTTCGATATCTTCGATTTATTACTGTTTACATAAAATTTTACAAACTGTGTAAATACTTAAATCCGATATACGCGACATGTTGTTTTTAGCAGAATGTTTATCAGGGAGCAGTACTTACCTCCAAGACAAGTGGCACTGCAAGGGGTGTAACCAGCTTCTTTCCAGGAGTAGGTTGTCTGCACGTCGCTTCCTGGGGCGACCTTAATTCCAGCGTCGTAGCCACTCCCGCTTGAACTGCCTGCCGATGATCTGTAGATGTCTGTCAGGCTCGGTTCGGCATATCCACTGTCGCCGACAGTGTCGATGCCATAGGTCAGGCTGTTCTCGACCACATTGCACGGGATCATCACGCATTTCTCCTTCTCGATCGGTTTCGGTCCGGAACACTGATGGTCGGGTAAATCGGCGATTGTTCGACTGAACTCGAGGAATATCTTACAACGGACTTCCCGGTGTCTGATCCCTTCGCCGCATGTCACGCTGCACGGCGACCAATCGTCCGCGATGAACCTAAGGGGTTGTTCGTTTCATGATGATTTAATGATTCGAAGCGACCATTTCTTTTGTGAATCTGTCCGAAATTTTCTGAATGATGCTTCTGGTTTTGATTTACAGGTCTTACTTCCAAGTCTATTGGGTTGCTAACAGTGATGGTAATATGTATATACATAAATTTCAATTAAGTTTTGGAATGTTAAATACAATATTTATAATTGCCTTTAGCTTCGATATTCAAAGAACCAAGAATATAGAGGCATAAAGTCGATATTGGAAGCGTCCAAACATTCACTATTCTTTCTTTGTCGTTTCAAGTGAAATGCCATTAACAATTTATATTTATATGCGCACGTTGGTTTACCTTGTATTCCACTAATGTACATTGGTTATTTATGGTTCACGGAACAACTCGCGCGTCTGTTCTGTCAGCGGTCAGATAGGATAAGTAACTGTCGGTTATTCTGGAATTACGTTTAAAGCCGCCTCTTCCATTACTCTCTATGTATCACTTCTCTATTCAACGCGATTCAATCGGGTTATCCATTCAAACTTACTCCCGAGTACCTACTTTCGTCCATCAATTAGTAACTTTTTGCTGACAACGTTTTCAATTCATCTTTCGTCTAGCAGCGATGCTTTGATCTATTCCAATTGTATATTGTCACGGTTCAATGTTCAATCATTGTACAAACAGACCTTGTAGGTATATACTACGTACACGGAATAATATCAGTTTTCAATTTTTTTCATAATAGAGCAAAATCTTATTGCCTAGAAACATGTTTTCACTGAATTGTTGAAACGAACACGGTTGACATGTTTTCTGTGTCACACGATTTTTGTTTGTTGAAACGTAATGTCTGTCTGGTACACGTGTAAAATGCATCTAACCAGTATGGAAATAAATCAACAAACAGAGTCGCAGGACAGGTCTAAAGCCCAAATTAAACGTGCTGAGTCTACGGAGGCAAAGATGCAAGCTAAAAGACGACGAGAAGAGGAAATTGTCGAAGGAGTAAACGTAAAAAGTGAAACGTAACAGCCTACGTATTACGCACCACCATTGTAAGTCTGTACTAATGCTTGATACTACGGCATTCGCGTACTGAGCTAATTAAATTACTGCAAATCTCTTAATCTCCATAAATGCATCAGAGACAGGAAAAAGTTAGCTAAAAAGCAGGGGATTTAAGCTCCTGGAATTTTAAAGCGCGTAAGAGATACTCAACTTGGAAAACTGTTGCGCATCAGCAGAAAACAAGCCTGTCGCGGAATCTTACGCCATTGTTTTACACGTATAAATTTTTGCGACAGGAAAAAAGAAGACAAATGTATATGTATGTTTCATGTAGTATAATTTTTGTTTTTAAAATACGTGGATGCGACAGGTAAATCTTTTTCCTGAAACGTCAAACAATACGCAATGCTAATTGAAAAAAAGTACGCTAAGCGCTAAAGGAACTAAAATAAACTAATCTGAAGAGTTGATCTATTGTATATTTGTTTAAAACAGCAGTCAAGAAACAAATGGGGAAAGGGAGTCAGGGGAAACATCCGGTTGGAAGTCATCGCGGAGATTGGCAAAAGGATCGGAGGACGCCAAATGCTTCTAGAACTCGCTTATTGATAGTCCTGATTTCGTTTAAAAAAGTAGAAGCGTCCTTGGACTTTGCAGCTTTGGGGTGAGTTACAAAAGCGTGCTAGGAATCTCCGAGAGTATAGACCTCGGGCGGGACGGAAAGAAGAAAAACGACGGTGGTAGTGGTTAATATAGAGAAGCAAGAAAAATTCAATAGGGGGAGACGAAGGAGAAAGTAAACATCGGTCTGCTTTGCTCTAGCCAGGAAGCAAGAAGCGCTTGAACCTCGCCTGGAATGGGTTTAAGGAAAGGCGTCTGAGGTAAGAAGTACTTAAAGGGAATAAAAATGAAGAAACCAGAGATAGAGAGAGAGGAAGGAGTGGTTGCGAGTAAGAGAAGAATCGAAGAATTTTGAAGAAGAGAAAAAAAAAGAAGAGGAAGAGAGACAGAACGTAGAAAAGTTAAAATAGAAGTGTGATAGAGAGTAGAAAGAGACACAGTAATGGGATACCTCAGATACAACCAGCCACAGGCAAAGTAGATCGTATATCTGTCGGGACAGACCAATTGAAGTCAAGAACTGAATGCTTTTAAGAAAGGAAGATTTTCTATCTAGCTTCGTACGAGTTTTATTATTTTGTTCTCGTGAGGGAGGGGTGACAACGCAACGAGAAGCTCTACGAACGGTTACTGTATGACGTTGTGAATATCTTTAGCCACGGACCAGCTGAATGCATATATTGCCGATCGGTATTATACGTGTCTCCGAATGTGTGTTTAACAATTTTTAAATAAGTTACTTACGTAGATTCCGAAGGTATCGGCTGGTCGATTAATTTCTCTGACACCGGCGGAGGTGGGTACGGCTGCATGAGGGGTTGTGTCATTTCTTCGCCGTCTGAAATAAAGGTTCATTGCTCGCGTAATCTATTTCAACGAGCGGCCATCGAGGATCTCGTCGTTGCGTTTGGCATAGTGCACGCGAGAAATCGGAAAGGCTTCCATCGATGTACCGTGCCTCGAGTGAGTGACACCGGTGCATAGGAATGTAGGCTTTACGAAACTTACATATCGGACAGGGAATGTTTGTTTTGCACTCTTGCTCGGTGTGCGGTCGTTCGGCTGGGTCGCAGTCCTTTGAGATGGAACCAACGGCGTCCCTGCACTCGATTGTCCTCGTCCTGAGACCGTTGCCGCAGGTCACGGAGCACTATCGATCATATCGGGAAAAATAAATTTTAGGAATTGAGGTCGAATAATTAATCGACAATTTGTTTTCGATACACAACTAATGAAGAGTAGATATTTGTAAAATTATTAAGTTGGTCCATACATATGAAATACTTCTTAATTTCATATGTAAAATGTTAAAATTTGCTAGTGAAATTGTAATGTGTTCTCTATAAATGAATCACAAATTTTATGTATTTATAAGAAAATTGAATGTTTTTTTAGATAAAAATGTTAATCTAATTACAAATTTTATTGATAGACACCAAATTATTTTATTTTTAATTTGATTTTTAATAATATATAATAATACAAAACTGGATAGACGTTTATCAGTTGGACAATGGACCTTTCACACGCACCAACCTTATATGTATAATTTAAATAGAAATTAGTACAGATCCTGAAACTGTGAATCGCTATAAAACATCGAGGTTCCTTCATACACTGCGCTTCATTTCGACTCTTTTATTTCGTCGAATGCGAGAACAGCTTTAGTTAGATACGCTTTTCACGGAATATGAAACAAGATAATACCGAAGTGAGGGAGTCCATAGAAATAGAGGAAACGAGAAAACGCGAAGGAAAACTAGAGTTAAGGAATGATAAAGTTTCGCAGCGCTACTGTGGAATCTAATTTCGTATACTAACTGGTAACGATTCTAATATTCAAACGATTTGAAAGTTTCATCCGAGTGATAGGAATTCTTGAAAATTACTATACTTCACTCTTCTACAAGGAAGCTTTTGTAGAAAACATTCGGATACTGTGAAACATTTTTCAAGTGTCAAAGAGCTTTCCTCACTTCATTATCAGTCAAATGTGAGTCCCATGCAAAAACCGACGTGATATGCAAAAATATCGGACAAATTTTCTCTCAGCGTGTTATAAATTCTGAAACAAAATTAACTTCTTTGCTTCTTGTCACGGAAGACATAAAGTAATTGGTTGCATAGGTTGCCTGTAATGTAGAAACTCTACTTTTCGTTAAGGAAACACGGTAACACTAATAGTATGAGACATTATCGGTTGTCTTTTTTAATTGCGAAAATCATTGTTGTTAGAGAAAATTCGATACTCTAATGCTCTTTCGTACTTTTACGTATAGGAAACATAAAAATCTTATTGACTATAATCTTTATTGGGTCGTTTTTCGCAAACTCATATTTTTATAAAATGCATAAAATAATGTTTTAATTTTTCTTTCTAACACAAGAATCCGATCGTTTAGAAAGTACACCCAACAGTTCAACGGAATTGATTAACGTGAATAGAAGACGATTGAAATCTCCTCGTTCAACATACTGACTTCCGTATTACGCACCCTTTTTATCCAGGCCGATCAGATTCGCTTTTATGTCGAACCGAATCGCAACCGAATCTCAAGTGTCAGGTACCATTCTCAGCCGCTTCTCACACAGGAGAATAAAGAGAGGTGAGAAAACGGTACGTCTCTTCGTTCAAGATGGAGGAGCATGGTTGGCCTCAAACTTCTCTCAAGTCAGAATAAAGTCTGCTGATCGGGAAGGTAAGGAGCGGGAACGATTCTGAGCGGTTTAGAAGCGCGAGCGAGAAGGAGGATGAACAAAAAGCCCGGATGCCGGAGCTATCGTTCAAGACGTCGAAGGTGGAAAGGTGACATGAACGGGAAAAGTGGAAACCCACTCGACTTAGCCACTCTACCTTCTTCTTTTCTGCCTCACGTCTCTGTTTGTTTACCTCTATTCTCGTTCTTATCGTTTCTCATGCTCATGTTCTCCTGTTTTTCCTCATTTTTTTAATTTTCGCTCTTCACTCGTTTTTTTTTCCATTTGTTTCACTCTTCCACAGTTTATCTTATTTTGCTGTCTGTTTTCCTTGCTTGTACATCGTAGTTTGGTTCGATTGAGGCTGCGATTCACCCTTCCCAGGACCCTATTTTCGCTTTCTTTTCTTCATCTTTTTTGCTCCACTTTGCTTTCACTTCATCTCCGCAGATCCCCTTTCTTCTCTCTCATTTCCTCTCTCTGTTTTTCAACTTCCTGCCGGCATATATTTCCCGTGTTCCCCTTTCCTTCGTCCCCCTACTGCTTTTCTCAAAACCATTGGGAAGGAGGTCCGATATCGCGGGAGTGCTTTAAGGAGCTCCCTGTGCTTTCAGTTCAATATTTGCATGGCTCCTGAGCTCACAAAAGAGAGAAATCTATCAATTCCTGTCTTCCGGTAGTGGCTCTTTCATTCACTCTTCTCCTTTCTCCTCTCTCTTCTGCAGCCTCGGACGAAATCATTACCGTGCTGACGGGTATAAGAGGCCTGCCTTTATGTATCGTTGGCAAAAGGATACCGACGCCATCTCCTCGCTCCTGGCACCGTGCACCGTTTCCTTCGTCAGCCGGAGCGAGGCCATTGTGTATCGATCAAGCTTGGGATGAGCCGTAAATCATGTCGCGCACACTTTTGCTTACACGTGACTACGGATATTTTTGTACCGTTCACGGAAGCCTGCTGTTTACCGTCTTTCTTATCATCCCCGATAAGCATGAGAGACACCTTATCGCATATCATCAAGTAACTAATTTCTCATCAATTTTTAGAAGGCTTTTCGCTTTAATATTAATCTTGGACATAATAAAACTGTAAACTATAGAAAATTATCTTCTAAAATAAACTTAAACCAACGATTTATTTCATGAATTGATAAAAAACTAATGCCTGATCAGGAACTACCTTAACGGTATTGTACGAATAGGCTAAGGAGTATAGTGATGGTAAGCATTTCAATACGAAAATGAATGAAATCTCATAAATTAAATAATCCTTTTCCTTTCACTCGACAAACGAACAAATTCTTTATAATCTCTTTCACTGAATTCTACAAAAGCTAACCAAATATCCACAAGGACTTTTCTATTCTCTAATTTCGGGCAAGTTCGTGGACCGTAATCGTGATCGAATAATATCGGAAATAAACTACAAAAGGCGCGCAGTAGAAAACCGGCAATCTGCAAACGGAGAGGAAACGAAATTTAACTTTCAATTTGCGAGCCAGGAAATTCGTCCCTCTTTTTCTCATTCACGGTTCTACCGAGGATCTTAAAATATTCCACGAAGCGGAAACGACGTCCGCTATTCGTCGTTGCCTGGCATCGCCATTATGAGTCCGCACGATTCCGCGGAATGTCGGGCGTGCTTTTTACGTATCGGTTAGTAACAGTAATAAATACGTATCTGAGATGCGCGAATGCATTTAGCGACCGCCTCATGAATAAGGTATAACACCGATTCCCACCGGGAATCCCGTTGATTTTTCCCACTTCGCGTGTACCAGTTGGAAAGTTCGCTCGCGAGAGAGGAAGAGGAAATGGTAAGAGAGACAGTGGAACACGACCTTCTGGTACAACTTGTCCCTTATTGTTGCGTCTCTTTGCACCTCTTATTGGAGTCTTATTCCTGGTTCGCGAGGCTGCATCAGCCAGAGCGAGTCACTTCTCTCTGGCTAGGCAGTTGCATTCGGAAACGGTTGCTTCCCTTGTTTCACGCCCGACGCGCCACTCTGAAATACGATGTTGTAAAATTTTATTGTTCCCAGAACTTTCTTAGCGTTTCCAGTTTGTCTCTGAATATAAACGAAACGGTCTCCCGTGTGGAGTTACATAGCGAAGTTACTTTAATTTCCTTCAGTGAAACGGTATCATGCCTTTGACGATATTGTCTTCTCGTTGAACGCTTCCTCTGATACGCGACGCGGCATAATTGCAATTGGAGAACGCATAAATCGCTCCATCTTGTATTAATCCTCTGAGTACTTTTCTATGATGGTAGGTGCACAGGATGTTCATATATTCGTTTTGTAACGATAACGGCCAACTTGGAAATTGTAGCGCGAAATCGAGTCGAAGTTTCACAATTATCGCGCGGTCGTAGATAACCGCGACAATATACGGAAACTTTTCTCAATGCGTCCGCGGTTGAAACAGAATTGGAACGAAATCCAAGAGGCAGTCGGGAAACGGGGACTTAAATTTCCATAAACGCACGAAATCGGACGTCCCCGAAACCGAATGTCTGGAATGCTTCCAGCAGATATCGCGCTTTTCAGGCCGCGCAGTTGTCCGAACAGCGGAAGAAATGGCAGCGGACGCACCCGTAGGGACGGGAGAGGAGAGTCGGTCATCAAGCACCGTGCCAAAACGAGCCCCGAGACTCCCATAGGCGCCACGGAGTCGGTCGAACCTTCCACAATGTGCATCCTGTGTATCTGAATCGCATTTATTACACGAAGAACGCGTGCAGGTTCCGTGGAAACGTCGACAGGACGTTGCGCTCGTGTGGTACATACGTATACGGCAACGACGACGCACTTGGCGGCGAGCCTCTTGATGCTGTGTCTCGAATCGATTTGCACTCCTGCTTGCAACTGCACACATATGCATGTGCAATTGAATGCCGGTGAATTTATGTATGTTCGTGTGGATCTACGACGAACACGATCGATAACGATGAATTCGTAGAGGAACGCGAGGCATTTTCCACAAGAATGCACCCTCTTACCCTCTTCTTCGCGTGCCTTTCTCGCTTTCTTCTGCCACTCCTCTTGAATCCTCTTATGGCGCCACCATTTTTTTCTTTCCTCGTCCGTTTGTCTTCTGGGCTTCTTACCTTTTAACCCTTGCAAAACGTCTCGTTAAGTGCGCCGTGATCCCACTCCCGTGTTTTTTATTTGTCGTTATTAAAATTCCATGTTCATCAACGTGGCACGTGGAAAAATTTAATTACCGATGCTTACGATATTTTTCCAGAGATACAGAAATGAAACTTCTGTTTCATTACATTCCTCGGTTTATGTAGGGCGTTCGTTTTATTGAAAACACTTCTCTCCAGCTCTTACATTGATTTCGTTTCCCCATGCGAGTTGAAAACGACGCTCTAGGATCATCGTATTTTGTATACTTATTAAAAAGGACGAACACCACACAAGAATCCTTCAATGTTAGGAAGGTGTAGGCTCTTCTTTTTTGCGAAAGACACTAACACGCGCGCGAATGAAATAGGGCCAGGAGGAACTCGGGGAAGAGCAAACCGAGATAAAAGGGAGAGGGTTATTTGACGACTAAATTGTCCTGTTTGATGTCGGTGGCTGATGCAGCCTGGAACCTCCTCAAAAGGCCTCGAAAGATAGTCTGGGACGACAGAGAGCGGAATGTGGGTAGAAACAAGAGACAGGAGGAAACGTTTGCGTGGAAACACGCGACGAGAAAAGGAAGAAGACGAGACGAGGCAAGTGTAACAAGGCCGCGCATTTATCGCGAAGCTTAGATGCCACGAATGTTTGATATCGTCAAGATGAAATGTCGTTTTCTTTACAACAGACGTAAATCCTATAGATTATCATGTACATATTTCATTTAAATAATTTATTAGTTATTTGTAGATATACCTATCATTAAATGATTTCATTATCCTACACAATGATTGTCCAGACTGTGAATCTCAATGCGTTTATAGTTACGTTATATGTATTGTTTTAAGTAATTTAGTTAACTTTTATTCAATTTGTATTTATTGGCATTTATAACAATCGTATTAATCAGCTAATGTATTAGTTATCTTATTGATCAATACTTATAATATCAATAAATAACGTTACAATATCTTCTAATAAAATTGTAATATGTTTATTATAAATTTTTTATATTATTATATTTGTTAGAAGTTTTTATATAAAGCTTTAGTTAATTCATAACAGGAGACAATTAGATAGAATATGAAAGATGATTTTCTACTGTAAAATTTCAATTTATAAAACAAAATGACGTTTTATACGCATCAGTTTAAGAATTTGTAGATTCACGGTTATGCTCGGTCGAGCTGTCCTGAGGAAAATCCGATTTTCGCGAATTTTCAGCGAACGCACAGCGCAGAAATTCGTCGGATTCGTTCACGTCGCTTTACCGAGGTTCTAACATCGTTAGATGCGACAGAGACGGAAGGCAAAAATGTTTGTGCAAATTAAGTGCTTTCCGACCACTGAACGGCCGCGACCGGATATGAAATTACTGAAGCAAAGGAAACTGTTTCGCGGCCCGTTTCGCTTGGCACGGAAGAGAAAAGTTATATAAGATTCAGGAACAGAAGGGGACATGACGGCCTCTTCGTACCCCTTTTCCCGTTTCCTGTCTCTCCAAATGTCAACAACGTTTCGGATAATTGGGAGTTTCACAGATAGTTAAAAAATTGATGACTTAAAAATTTATTTCGATAGAAAAGTTGCGGACGTTATCGATCTTCAACTCCTCAGTGATTAAATGTGTTTCGATGCTGTAGAATATTTTTATGTAATTAGTTTCGATTTACTAGTTCCAGAATTGCATTTCTTAAAATCTATCGGGCAGATCCCAGCTTTAAAATTTTAGTTAGTTTACTTTATATCATCAATCTATAAAATAGTAGTTGGGCGGTTTCTCTATTCTCATACACGTAAAGCTATAAATATTTTTACATGCAGTATGATGGACATTGCTTAAAATTTTCTGCAAATAAGGAATGTAAAATAGATTTCTGCTTTAGCCAAGTAATTCGCAGCGAAAATGCGAAAACAAAACATCTGGTTCGCAGAAAGCAAATTCTGGAACGAGTTTCATTTCCCTTTGCAACAATCAGCCCGAGCTTCACTGTTTGCTGTTCCCGAAGGAAATCGGATTTACTGATACGGATAGACAGATATAATCAGATAGAGGAAGGTTACATGCTTGTGTATCTCATCTTCGAACACCGTTAACGTGCTTTTAAGAGACAAAAGAGGCTCGTCTAACTTGCTTAACGACGTTAAACTCCGTACGGATAGAAATTATATAGTTCTTCGTGTTCATCGATTACGAAATTCATGATTCAAAATTCAATAATAACGCGTAAAAATAAAAATTGTTGAAATTTTAGAGAAAGCGAAAGGTAATAAATAATGAGTTGGGGAAAACGTCTTTCTATAAATTAAGATATAATTGAATGATAACAATTCATTTATTACTATCATTTCAACCTCCGGAAAACTGCCTTAACGCATTTCAAACCATTGACGCATCTCTCTAGCATCTCTAAATTCCACAATCGAAACGAACAATTCCATTATACATACTCATTCTGTTCTTTCACGAGTTGCGAGGGTCGCAGTGTACTAGGATTGTCTGTCATGTACTCACCTCGCTCCACTTCTCGGTCTCCCACATAGGGCACGAAATGGTATTACAAGTCTCCTGGCTACGGGGTTTATGCGAGGTATTGCACTTGTGGTCTGGCAACTAAAACAATAAAAATGTAAGATGTTCTTCTTAATTGTATCTTGCAAGTCCATAATTTAACATGTTACATGCATTACGTTTGCTTATTAGATCCTTCAGTAAAATCATCTAACCGTTTACTACAGGGTGAAGATAAAGGGAGATCGGATCATAGAAAAAGATGCAAATTCTCGTGGTACACGATACACGCTATCTAAACGTATGTATATCCAACGGTGTACATATGCTAGCTCTCGTCGAGTCTCGGATGAGGGGATTTTACGGTGGTTGACAGAGAACCGCGAGCGACCCTTGCAGTTTAAACGAACCGAACTGGGTTAGGGTTCGTGGGTTTCGCCAGGCTGTCGTAGTCGCCGGATAGGCGGATGAGTGGATGGATGGATGGATAGACATGTATATGCGCAAGTTGGAGGAACATGAATACATCGTAAAACGTCAAAGACGAAGGAAAGTTGTTAACCTATTTATACCGCGAATAACCGCAACACGATTACTCGTCAGGATTTAAATTAGCGAGTTCGAATTATAAACCGTGAAACATACAATGTGCTGAGACGGGAACAACCTTCCCACCGATAAACCGGAGCGAATTTTCGATTACGTTAGACAGAGCTACGAAATTACGTATCGCGACTATAAATTCCACGGTCAATGGCAAAACATTCAACTTTGGTAAAACCAAATTGCATGCGAGCAGGTTGGGTACGATGAAAATAAAGTCTGATCGATTTCCGGGCGACACGACGAATATTCCTTCTGGCGCCACATCGGGAAACACTGTTCCCGTAGCAGGAACGAGGTCGAATCCGGGCCAAAATCCCGGAATTTAATATAAAGGGATTTCGCGTATTTAAATTATCCCAATCCTGGCTCTTATTTACCTTCGTAGTCTCATTGCCGTTCTCCTCGGTACAGAAAATGGTCCTGGTTCTCGATCCAATTCCGCAACTAGCACTGCACATACTCCACTCGCCGGCTACCCATCTAGAAAGGTAAAAAGAATCAATTGAAACGCGGGTCGTCTAGCCAGCGAGAAGCTGAGTTGCTATACATACAAGTTTCTCTGTGCGTTATATTAAAAGTTCGAGTATTCACGAGTTCAAGTATAATACTGCCATTTCTTATACTGAATGCTAAAAATTTGCATAGGGTGAAATTACGTTTGAATCTCTTATTACACTAACTCGCTGCTTCTGTAGATAAGACAAATTTGATTACGGGTCTCCTTTTTAATTATTCGGGCCTTCTATTTAATTAATTAATGTAAGCCCTTCATGATTCTCGGTTCTGGATAACTAAATCTTTATTGAAGGGGAAAAAAAGAGCGGCGATCGATCTTTGCAGACGAAATGATGGTTTTTTTTAATATTTTCAAAAGGCTTCAGCTTAAAAAGTCAAATTATAGGATTTCCGCGAGCACTTTGAAGCCACGTTTGAAAAGGCTCGGTAGTTGAATAAAATTGAGGGAGAAAAAGAGAGAGAGCTTTCCTTTCCATGAGGTTCTTATTCGGTCGGAAATCGTCTTTGATATCGCGACCAAACTCGTGAGGGTTTCTCGTCGTTAAAGAAGCTTGCACACAAATCATGGATGAGAGCGAATGGATCGAAAATCGGTACTTATGAAACGAAGCTAATTGCTGACTATATCTGTCTGGGGCGACGAAAGCTTTTTTCTGCTCGAAGCTGTTTTCAACACGCAATTCACTGGAATTTCCGCTGAAAAATGAGTAGCAAACTAATGACGTCAAACAATGAATTTTAAATCAACAAAGTGAATCGCGGTAGAAGTTATTTTTAAACGGTCGTAGTTGTTATCCGATTGGAAATAGTTCGATACTTTCAGACACGTTATTAAGATGGATTATGGAAGAAATGATGCGACTTTCGCAAATTAGAGAAGCGATACAGAGAAAGTTTCTCTAAACGATTGGAACAAGACTAATTGTTATAGACTTTTCCATTTTCGATGGATATCGAGTGTTTACTGGGGTGGAAATGTAACCAGACGAGTTCATCGACCACCGTCAACATGCAGTGAATATCATTTTCGCTGGTACGCATAAATTCGTATCGATTTATCCGTCTATTTTATTTATTATATATTTTTACTGTCCGAAGAAAATTGTTTACTGACTTGTGGAGAATCAATTGAAACATACTTAAGTATAAACGTATACGTGAGAAGTATCTCAGATGCTGCGTGCCCATCGCTAGATTAATAGTCGAATGTGTCAGAAAACGATTACCAGAATTTAATTGAGCTTGTATCTTTGCCACAACGTGGAATAATAGCCACTGAAGTATTCAGCGGCTTAATACACAGTTGCGGGTAGGCAGCGGTTTAGGATTGCGTCAATTCTCTTGGGGGACGACTGAAATGCCCAGCCTGAGCCGAATTAAACTATATTCTTGACTGGACCAATTAGCACCAATTTAACGTTGACGAGGCCCACTCCACCAGTGATTTATTAACCATCGTGGCTTATTAACATCGTAATTGTACTTCGTTACGTTTCACCCTCGCGATTTTTTCGCCCCTTACGATGAACGCAGCGATCGATTCTGTGTCCTTAAGTACACCGCTTCGCGACAAAAATATTCGCGATTAATGTAGAACGTTAAATTATTCATAGACCAATTAGGACGATTTTAACCTTATTTCGTGACTTCATCTATTGGAAAAATATTCTAATTTATATTAAGTATAACCTGCTTTTCGTTTTAGAATATTTCTAGAAGCTGAGGTGCTGCTGTTATACATAGATTTCGTGCATGTCCTTCCAGTTATTAACCTGTGAACGTTTACGTATTTACGGGATATTGAAAACGTATACTAAATGAGTGTATAAATATGTATAAGCTTTATATAATTAATTTTACTAGTTATTAGTATTTGTCTATGAAACTCTTCAGAAGGCATTCCTATAAGCTCGAACATGTTAAAGAGGAAAAGATGACGCAATTCAGTCGCGTGACTGGCCTCTTGTGCAAAGTTTCGTAGTTCAAGTAACTTGAGCCACTCGAGATTCTCCTTCGTACAGTGTTAACCAGTTGAGTTCCTGGTTCCTGGCCACGTGCATCATCCAAGTGGCGAAGTTTCCTCGCCCTGCGTATAATAATATTAAATAACAACCCAGGGACAACGTGTAACGAGCACTTGACGGAATTTTTGTAAATCGTCCCGTTTTCTAACGGTTTGTGTATTCTTAGTTAAATTCGGTGAAATAAAAATGGAGTGTCCCGGGTTGGATGAAAATATGGAATTTCAGGAAGGGTTGTTTTCACGGTATGCCTAGCCACGCTAAAGTGAAGAAAGAGAAAAACATCCTTTCTCTATAATTTAGTTGGATAATTTGAACATTGCAAATTTACGTACGAAAATAAACATTCTTAAGGAAAATTGAGCGAGAAAAATTATTACCTTCAAATATAAGTCTAAAGTGTTTTGTTTAGTCGTCGTTGTCATACATTTAAGTTTAAAGTTTTTTTGTACATAAGTAAAACGAAGGTCCTATGTTGAAAATATAATTTAATAACTGCGATGGTCAGCTCTCAGCAACAGAGAAATAAACTAACCGAAATGTAAGGCAAATTCAGTGCAACAGGATAAACGTCGATCGGTCAGATAGTTTCGTGGATACCGAATCGTAATTTCAATCAGAAAAGGAACAGGATCCGATACACACACGTCTCTGCGTGTCTGAACGACGTGATACGTTTTTACCAGCGCCTGTATATTCGGTAAGAATGGTTCGCGCCGGACTTTTTGTTCGACGTCCGTCGCCGGCGTAGTATCTGCTCGTTTGGGGACCGATTCTCATCGGGAGCGAGCTTTAAAGCGCGTCTTTTTATCCGTCTCTCCTTTATCCGAACAAAGGACAGCCAGTATCGTTCTGAGAACTAAGATTGTTTCTTCGAAAAAATATCCCCGGGACGTTCTCTTCTTCCTGTTTCCTTTTCGTTATCCCGTTCGATCGTTACGCTTTATCGCGAACAGTTTCACCGTTGGACGTTCGTGTTATGAGTCAGGGGAATAAATTTGTCTCACGTTCGTGAGTTGTTTGAAAGGAATCCAATTTGATGACTATCGTGAACGTCGGGGAACTGTTCTCATTTCCGTAATGAAATTACTCAATAGTAAAAAAACAAAAATAAATTACATAAAAGCCTTACTCGTAACTGTTAATAATATATTTCTTAACAAATTTCGCGAACATTGCACAACGTATATCATTCGAGGGACTGAATTTTTCTTTGTGGTTGATAGATCGTTTACCTCTACGGCGATGATCGTGATCACCGAAGGGAGAAGCGCTTGATCCTTTCGCACGCAGGAAAAACAGTCATATTGTTTGTCCGACGGTCAAAGAACTCTCGTATCTTCCGGTCATGTTTTTCCGATTAGGATCATTGTGATAAAGAATGAAAAATGTCAGTGATGTAAAGAGTGTCTGAAGACGAAGGATGCAGAAAGGAAAGTCGAGGTAATATCCCGTTTTCTGGTACATCTTACAATGGTTAACTAAAGGCATTGAACTATTTCAATAAAATTTCAATCAATCTATGGAATCTTGATGAATGACAATGCAGTTAAAAATTGATAAAATGAATATCTGTAATATTCTATAAAAAGTACATTCCATTGTATGATTTGATTTAAGTATCTCTAACTTGTCATGAGACATTATCATAAAAATGTTTCACTATTTAACGAAGAATTCTCGTAGTAAAAGCGTCAGTGATCGGAGTTTTTGATGAGGAGAGAGAGAGAGAGAGAGAGAGAGAAAGAGCGAGGTGAGGGGACCAAGAGGCTTGTTTTTCCAGGTCTCTTTTAGAAAGCGGCCCGCCGGGCTTTTGCTCCTTTCCTCCCCGTCCGTCGACTAATGGCCGTTCAGTCCGCTTGAAAGCTCCGGCCCATCGTTTCCAAGCTCGTGTGTATCACGAGCCAGCTGTATCCATTTCCGTGTACGATTCCCGAGTGGACGCGTACACGTACGTGCATACACGCACACTGTCGCATAGTCGACACGGCTTGACGAACAACAATCGGGACTGTTCGGTTGCTTTCTTCGCAACCGCGGTTGAGGAAATTGGCTGCAGAGGAAGATTGGCCGATGTTAATCCCAAAAGCGGGAGTTCCGATTTTACGAAACAGCACGTGGAAAATACGAGAATTTCGAGCACCTGCGCGTGAACGTGCTCAAGGAGTCAAACAATGCTTGATCTGCTCGTAAAACCGGGACGTTCGATCCCGGGTCCGGAATTCTTCGATTAGAAAAGCTTTAACAAAGTTCCTAGTGGTCCGAACGTAACGCACGAACTTCGGGGTACATGTCCATTTCTGGTTTGTTAGGACATAGACCTAATTGTCTTCAACGTAACTTGGATGTTTGGTCTGTATTTTATACAGACCGAATCAGTCAGAAATATAATTTAAAATCATTCATTGGTCATTCGTTGGCTCCAATATAAATTCATTTATTTATTTACATCATATAATGAATTCGTGCTCAAGATTTTCGGATAAAATCATAAAATAACAAATTACTATTTGTACGTATTACTTATTGACTGATTCTGTAAATTAAACGCTCGATGAAAATCCGAAAGCAAAATACTGATACCGTCAAAGAGAATTGCGACGAAAAATTGGATCATCGAACATCTGATCACTAACTTTTTGACCCATTGATCTCTCAAATAGACACATCTATATATAAGATTGAGTTTTTTTTCTTACGATCATAAGTGAAGAAAAATGAATGAAAATATGGATGCCGAACATCAACATCAACTTCGATAGAGCTACCCTTTTTACTATGGAGGCGTACAACCACGGAATCCATAACGCATGGCAAAAATCCGTGGAACAATTTGTTAAACGGATTTCGTGTTTGTCTACGTACTAAGTTATGTATTCCATTATTCAAGAATGTTGAAAGCTAATTATTCGAATCAAACACATGATACGTATTCTATAGGAACATTACCTTTGAAAAAAAATGATGTTTCATATGCGTCAAACTACTACTTGCATGTACGCTTGCTAGATATAAAAAAGTTCTAAAACGATTTAATGTTCTTTGATACGGACGGGCACGCGTTTAGATCAAACGTTCGGACAGTACTCACTTTGCGGTACAGGGATGCGTGTTGCACGGCATTAGAGTCTTCTCTGGTCTGTTATCCGGATCGCAATAGCTGTCATCCACTACGCTTTCGTCCTGGCCGACGATCTTACACACCGCCATTGCTATCTTGAAGCCTAATGGAAAATGTATTTCATCGTATCATGATTCACGACCAATGATCCCTTATCATATTTGGAAAGCTTATGTACAGGGTGAATAAGAACTACCATTTGAAATGACTAATTATTTATTGATATGATGAAACTTTCTATCCATCTACCATAAGAGACTCCGTATTCGTTAAATGGATTTATTCCTGTATTTTGTTAAACTAAAGTTCATTTTCCAATACCCTATAATATAAATTAATGAATAAAGGATAATTTCAAATGATACGCTACATTAATTTGCACTGTTAACAATTTTAACTCTTATCTATCTATCAGTGTGCTGATTATGTATCAATTTTTTAAGTTTTACAGAACATTGAACGGAAGGGAATATCAATCGGTGAACGTTAAAACGTAGTATTATATCCGAAGAAATATTTTTTGACGATATTTAATTATTCTACTACGATGAGTGAAAAATCACGGTTTTTATAAAATTTGAAAACCTTTCAACTAATGGTAGAAAGTGTCGTTATTAAACGCGATAAAATGTCATTGGACGTGTTAATGAGAGAACTCAATATTAATTGATGCATCGCGTTGAAATGAAAATGTAGAGCAAAGGGTCATTGAAGTGTCGTACATATTTCGAATAAAATAAAGCTTCATCGCTCGTGGGGCTTTTCATTTTCATCTCTTCGCGGACTGTTGAAAAGTCTGTTTATGAAAATCTATGTCGACTGCATAGCACGATTGCTTCATCACGAACGATATATTTTAATTTGAATAAAGAATGTTACAATTCTTAAATTCTCCCATTATTCTCGATTTTATAAGACGTAATCGATGTCCATGACGTAATTATATTTGAACATACAGAATACAGAAAAAAATAACTTGACGACAGTGTTTCGTGATATTCTATTTATTTATACTTTTAATTCTTCTAATACGTTTTGTCACATTTCGAACGAAATATCAGAAAATGAAAGTATGCGAGTAAGTAGGAAAACAATTCCAACCCAAGACGATAGTAAGGGAAATCACCTGTTCTATAAGTAGTCGTTATTAATTTACGAGGTCTGGGAAACGTTCAACGATTCGCAGGTCTCGAAGTTCATTAGAATTCATTGCTCCAAGCGCCCGATGTAAATGGACAAGCTCCGCGCTAGTGAACTAATTGTAAGTGCTTCGAGGGAATGAACTTCGTAACCAACCACTCACCTCCGCCGCATGATTTCGAGCAAGCGGATATCGATTCCAAACTCCACGAGTACCGCGATTGGCAGCTCGATCCGTTTCCGCCGCATACGCCGCACGCGTCCGTGTTCTTGTTGCTACCGACTCGCAAATCGCAACCGACCTTCTGAAACAAAGAAAACCCCATCAAACGATTAACACACTTAACTCTGAGCGTGCATTTAAAATGAAGAGAGTTCAATTAAAGAAGTAACAAGGAAAGAGAACAAATGAATTAGCTACTAGCTGAAGAAGCTTAATTTATACGAATACGCTATTTTCTTCTTTATTTTTTCTACATTGAATTCATTTTCGATTTCGCACGCATTTTTTATTCAAATCACATTTTTTTAAATCGATGTTATGAATGTTTTAGTTTGCATAAAAGTCCACAGTTTGATAATTATACCCTGAGTTCTTGTAGAAGATGTTCGACGGTTTGAAATCCAATTATATCAGGAGGTTAAATCGACATTTAAGCTCGAAGGTTCCCGTTAAGTCTTCGTTTTGCAGCAAATCAAAGCGATAGGTCCTCGAGGGCGCATAATCTAAAGACGATCCCGTGCTACGTCATGCGCCCCGGGGACCGATCGCATCGATTTGCAATAAACTAGGATTCTAACTCAGTCTCTCAGGTATTAAAAGCCGTTTGAAACGCGAAACAAATTTCTGGGTGGCGATCTGCAACAAAAGCCGCGGCCGAATTATCGCCTTGGAATGAGATACGAACCGTGGGTATGAATATCTGTCTCTGAATTTTCTCTTCTTTCTGTCGAAACGTAAACAGAAGGTGAACGGATGATAGCGGGCGTCGCGGGATTCGAGCATTCAGGCGTCAAACCATGAAAGATTAATCAATGAAACGAAAAGACGAACGGCGAACGTCACGTTGCAGAATCTGAATGCGGTCTTACCGCAACGTTCGAGCGTTGTTCTGTACAAATTCAGCGGCTCTTCCCAGGCGGGAAGAGGAAAAAGAAGGAATGGAAAAAAGGCAGGAAAAGCTGACGTCGATTCGTGACCTGGCTCGGACGGCAAACTGATTTGTCATTCAGGCTGCATGGAGGTTTGCTCCGAGATCGGGGAGTACATTATTCATCCCTTATCCGGACGAGAAGAGCGAACCAAACTGGTGGCAAAGGTGCCAGGACGGAGTGGGAAGGACACGATGTGGACGGGGAGGCAGAATGGTGAGACACGAGCCTAACGAGATCCTTGGAACTATCGGCTGCCGCGACAGGATGATCCAAGATTTTGTCAGGCTACGTCGATTTGAATAAATCGCAACAACGCTTGTCAGATCGTTCAGGAATTCAATGGGAATGGTCATATACAATGTATATAAATGTATATACATTTGTAGAGAATTTAAATACGCATGCATGGTTCTTATGATATTTAATGAAATAAAGTGATAAAACATTTTAATCATATGCAAGGTGATTTAAAAATCGTTTTACAACCGGCTAGCTAGCGATTATATATGCATAAATAAAAAAAAGCTTTTTTATTTAAAATTTGGTTTTGGAGAAAAATAATCCGATAGGTACTCGTGTGTTAACTGGAAGTTTCAAAGTATGAAACTTCAGTTTCTGCTTCTGTCTGTATTATTCAACATGGGAAATGTCACGATTTGTTTCCTGTAGTTTTGGTGGTTTCATAAATCAAGACAGGATGTTTTAAGTATTATTCTATTAATGTAATATGTTGTTTTATATACAGTTCTGTTCGTTAAACTGAATTATTATGCACTTCTTGTAGCAATTTATCTGCATTTTTCGAATCTTGATACGCCAAACCGATGTTTCCTTTTAATTTCTCAACGCTGTTATTATTTTCCGAGTAAAGTATACATTAAATAAAACCCCATAAAAAAAGTTTGATAATTTAAAAGTTTCAGTTAATACATAGAAATCTGAAGTGTCGTCAAACTATTTTCTCTTGAAAACTAAGCCTTCAGCGAAAAACATTCTACTCTTTTTTTAACTAGCCAGTTGTACAACGGAAATTCTATATTTGCGATGTTCTGATTACATCAGAGGTCACATCAGAGGTACTTCTATATTAAAATACGAACTTCAATGTTACATTAAAACATTTTCAAAAATGTCTCTGGTAAAAGAACATGAAACACGTGTAAAAAAAAAGATATACTTATTTATAATCCCGTTGCTTGCTATTAGAGAATCAAGTTTCGCATTATGTTATCTTTATAAAAGTATGAAAGTTTAGTACTTGAGAGATATGACGAAATTTATAAACCAAATTCGCGAAGTTTAAAGAATAATATAATGTATTTATTGTCAATTTTTAATAAATTAATTTCTACATCTCATGACATCTATCATGAAAGATCATGAAAATCTATCTGGGTTATGCACATACACTGAATAAAAGAGTGCTTTCCGAACGATGGTTAATATTCGTTTATATCCTTTGTGGAAATTTATCGCAAAATTCTGTCAATCTCCTGTCTTGCTTAAATAGAAGCCTGCGCAGCGCCGCCGTGTCTTTTCACCAGAAGCACGTTCACTCCTCGCCAGCATTTAGAAACTGCATTTACGCTTCAGCGGGAATTCTTCGACAGTTGCAGGGTGCGGAATTCGCATGGGAAGTAACTTTAGCGAATCGTGCTTCCCGACGCAAAGAAAGGGAGGAACGATGGTGAGGAAAGTAAAGAATAAGTACGTAAGAAAGAGTAATAGATAAAAAAAAGCATAAATAGGAAACCTTAGTTACTGGGAAATTTGCTATGATTTAACAAAGCCGCTGAATGGCATCATAATTCTGGTCTAAAACAAGCTCGAAGAGCTTTGAAAAATCGAATAGAACGCGAGGAGCGGGACAGGGTTGCTTGCGGCAGAATGAATTGAGATTTAATTTTACACGAGGCTGGATTCGTTTCCGCGACCTTTCTTGGCGTGTGCACACCGACGCACGCGTGTATCCGGTACTGCAGGTGTGTTGAATGTCGGCCTCGAATGCACCGCTGGGAGTTCGGATGGAGTTTAAATCTGGGATACGCGATTTCAACAACACGTCGGTACAACGTTCGTTTTTTGTCCCATCCTATGTATTTTTTCCCTCTTTCTACCTTTGTTTTTTATCGACGACTCGCGTGTTTAACATTGCTTATAGGACGGGATTCTGGGGTTCGTTATTTAGTGAGCAATTTTAATCAAGCGAATGCGAGTTACACAAAGACAAGATTTGTAATCGAATTTTTGCACAACGAACGATCAAATAATCTTTTTTATCCAAGAACTCGTGCTACATCTCCATGTTATTTTCGAACAATGTTGAACTTTTATAATCGTCATTTATAAAATGGGCAGTAAATCGAGTTGGATTTTTAATTTAACATAAATTTCGTGCAAATACACATGAGAAAATACTGAAACGAGTCGTGATAAGAAGAAAGACAGGCAAATTGAGAATGACTTCTATTTCGGAACCCATTTGAGAACTTTAAAAAATTCAGAGAGGTCGAGCTTCCCTCAAGTTGAATTTCGGCTGGAGACCAATGATTTTTAGATTCTTCAAGGCACAAATGTGGAAAGGTCGAGTCTGTGTATGCAGGTGAGAACATATTCACACGTACATGTATGTATGCGCCTGTATACACAGCGCACGTGAACGCGAGCGCGCAAACAGAATGGAGGAGACACACAATACGGGCGCTCAGGATTAGGTTTACTTTGCCCGAGAAGTGGAAACCTGCAGCGGAGTCCCGTAATTGAAGGATTGGACCATCGAAGCAACCGGTTATTTCTCTAGGTAAACACGCCAAGAGAAACGGCCAGCCAGTCGGGCGTGCAAAATGAAATATCGCGAAACTTAACGTCGCGACGCGACGCGCCGATCCCTCCGCTCTAGCAATCCTGCCTGCCCTCGCTCGATTCGTGCAAATAATACATCTCCTACATCTAGTAAATACCTCCAATGGTCGTTTATGAGCTACGGGATATGAACACTCGTTTCGTGACACCGCGGGATTCTTTGAATTCCATAGAAAGAATCCCAGACAATTGTATTAAGGTGCTTCTTTCGAAAGAATTCAAGGCTCGAGAAAAAGAATCCGGATTTACACTGTGTATCAGATTGTTGGATATGAAATATCGTTTTTTTTTTAAATCGAACAGGTGTGACTAAACAGAATACATGTACATCATCCGTTGTATCAATTACTTGTACACATAATTGTAATTTACTTATAGACTGTACGTAGGAAATTATTAATCTTGTCTTAGTAATAATTAATTTTGTAAAACAAGACTTGCGTTCACTCATGGTCGAAGGATAAATCGTCGGTTTTTATGACTTTACAATTTGCTGGCTACTTCGTTACGTAAATTTGACCAGTGTTTAATTATTCAAACCGGCTTTCAAGGTTCCATTCGGTTCCTTCCTTTTACAACCCTCGCTGTCCACTGGAGTCAGCCCATTATGCTCAATACACCCTCACCTCTCCGTCATGAGTTCTTTTCTTGCTACTCCACGAATCCACCCCATACCACCGCTTCTTTCCTCTACACTCGTTTCTACGTTTTAATATATTTTCCTGGTGAACAGGATTTCCCGACTACAGGAGGGGATGATCACTTTGTTCCTCTTATTTTCGCCGTTTCCAGTGAGATAATGGATTTTATGTTATACTTAGTTCAATCCCGTACACACTCCTAATTTCTCGGTTGTGTTTTTATTCCTGTTCAGCTATTTTTCTCGTGTATTATAAACTTCGTATAGTATATACCAAGATAAATGAAAATAGAAATTGTCTTGTACGATGTGTGGAACCTGAGTAATTGAATAATACATAACACGTAATGGAAAGTCAATACAGTTGATATAACTTTGAAATTAACTCTTGCGCTCGGATCCTAAGTACGAAAGTGTAGTAATACAGAAACGACGAGTGATACGCGTTACAAGTTAGCCTAAGCGTAATGTGCGGAAGAGGACACGGAACGAAACAATTGAAGGAATTTCCGAGTGGTGGAAGGCAAACTCTAACGAGTCGCGATAGCACAAAAGCGTCGCGCACTTATCGAGCGTGTCCAACGTTACAGTGGAGAAGAGAACTCGGCACGGCGCGGACGCTTTAATAATGCAAAACCAGTTTGCGTTTACCGGAGCTCGGTTAGTGCTTAATTACGTGGCCCCCGTCTGCTGATTAGATATTGTCCTTCCAACTTCGCCGCCACTGTCGTCACTATGAAATCCCGTTAATTATTTCTTCACGCGCCCTTAAACGTTTCTCCCTGAATCGCTTTTAACAAATTTCTTTCAATGTTTCTTAATAACCAACACTTTTTGTCTCTTTATTCACTCTTGGGCTAGTTTTTACTTGCATTCTCTGATTACATTGAATTCTTCAAATGTTAAAATGCAAGAATTTCAATCGTTGATTTTGTACAGTATTTTTTAGCAATCAGAACATCGTTATTAATTAAAATGAGTATTTTTAATCCTTAATGAGTCCTTTTAGGATTTTTAGATAATAAAGAAGCCTTTAATATCTTTAGACGACGAGGTATATTATTAAAGTGCTTAGTCAGCTGATAGATAAAGTGACAAACAGTGCCAATATTGGCGAACGTCATCTGCTGCTGGCGTTCGCCAACTTAAGATGTACTCGTGGCTACTTAAAGGGCTAATCGACGAAGTAGCCTGTCTCTCCGTACACAAAGTCGTTGGCGCGACGTGACGCGATGAGATACGACAAGACGTGACGACGGTGTAAATTAAGATCGAATTAATTTAATGGACGAGAAATGCGGGCGACCCGACGCACCCTCGACAAATATTAGCCGAGAAGGCTGCCGCACCGTAGCACATCATTAGCTCTCATTTTCTTTCGACTTCAGTGGAAAAATGCGGTCGCATACAATCATGAACAGAAACCAAAAGTTATAAATAAGTTTGTACGAGTCCAGCAAAGAGGGTGGAGGATTGGACGGATAGAGGGCACTGTATGCTCCACCTGAGCAAATTTTTCCGGTCTTGAGTTCCCGTCGGAACTTTCTTCTCTTCTTCTTCTTCTTCTTCTTCTTCTTCTTCTCCTTCTATTCCTTCTTCGCCAAGTTTCGACAAGGGATGCAGCAATTGCAACTTAATTCTTAACCGACGCTTTCAGCGTAATCCGGAGACGAAGGCTCGGCTACGATCGCGTATTTAAAAGTCCGATCTCTGCATTTAATTAATTATCTCACGGCCTGACTCGGGTACGAGAATACGAATCGCAAACCGAAAAGTTACTTGAAATGAGTGGAAAGAAAGGTAATACTGGTCTAGTTGGTTAAAGGCAGTATTTTTTACGTCCTCTCTATGAAAAATGTAAAGCCCGTTGCAAAATGCAAATAGGTGTTTAAATATGGAAATAATTTGTACCGCGGTGTGCATGTTACGTATCTCGTAGCATCGCGTTTCGGATGGTTCGTTTTTTGATACGGCGCGCCGCGCCGGATTTCAACCCCGCGCTCTCTCGCGTTGTTTTATGCTTTCAAAGAGTTCCGAAAATGTATAACTTTATGCAACAAAAGTCAGAATAACGGTTTTTGTTGCAAAAGTCGTGAATTTACGTTGTAATTTCAAAGACACTGGTATCTCGATACGAGGGAAAATAAACTTAACTTTGAGCATAACAAGAAATGTGTAATAGTGTATTTATACTTAGATGTGCACACACACACACACACACATCAAACGCATATTCAAATAAAAACTTCAATAGTTTATTGTGCTTAACGAGTGTATTATATTGTAACGCGAGATAAGAATACTTACTTTGTTAAGTCTATTTTTTGAACTTCCGAGTCCATGTTTCATTTCCAAAATTAACGCGCTAAGATTACATTGACAACTGATACAATTGTTACACTGTCCGACACGTTACACGCTGCGACTACTTCTTGTCTGGTTAGTGACCGATCTGTATCACTGAACAGTCTCTCGTGACGTATATGTACAGCTAGTAACAATGAAACTGAGCCAGTTCGGGCTTGTGTTAGTTGCCCATAATTCAAAACGAGTAGTATAAGTCTCGATCTTATTTTTCAATACTCGATCTGGCACCGATATTGTTGGACAATTTTGACGCGTCAAAATTATGTTAAAATCCAACAGTATCGATGCCAGATCGAGTATTGAAGAATAAGATCGAGACTTACTACTCATTTTGAATTATGGGAAACTAACATAAGCTTGAATTCGCTCAGTTTCAATGTTACTAGCTGTACATAAATGTTTTCTTTCCCGCGAAATGATCGATAATGTCACTAAATTATTTGCATTCGTAATTTATATACATGCAATATTTATGCAATCAATACTTGTTATCGTATCATTAATTGAACAATATATGCGATACGCAGATCAGCTGCTATTACAATATCTGTGTTTAACTTTACGAAAGAATAAAATATGGAACTGAGGATACATGAATCTAGTTCCGAAAATATTTATCATATTACTCTAAGTATGTACACAACCGCCAAACCAAAGATGGTTAATTAACAAACGATTTTCTCCGAAATGTACCACATTTATGTCCATTACATTAATTTCTCGCTAATGTTCCGTTCCCCTAAATAATATTCGAATCGAAGGTAGTAATATTATTGTAGCGGGACACGATAAACCTGCGCCCGTATCGACTGTTTAATTCCCAAAACGAACAGAATGGCATCAGTACTTTCATTCAACGTACAAACGAATGAGCTTAAAAAATGGCGGTGTTTGCACGGTAAATCAGCCAGATGTTATTTCCGTACGTAGTTACGAAATTACGCGAGAGAATAATTCGCGCGCTAACAAACTTAATCAAGCTCGTCATCAATTATTTATTATTGTTAATCAATCTGGGAATGATAACGCATATCAATTAGAAGCGTAACAAGGTCTCGTCCTGTCAAAGCGAATCGCGTCGAGTTTCGACAGAGAACACGGCAGAATCGATACGGACATTTCCCACGTACCACGTCGTTCAACCGCTTCTCATTATGTCTTATGTACTCCGAAGCGTAACTTTAAGATTTCAGGATACAAGCGTTGCAATTCAATTTAATTGGCATTTATGACATTTGGGCTTGCTTGACAAATTACACGATCCATTGAGATTTTTCTGTATCGACTTTAACTCGTATAATATAATCTTAACCAAGCGTTCCTTCAAGCCTTGCATTCATCCAGTAACTTTCTCTTCAAATATTCATAACTCCACATGCTATGAATTATTTATACCACATATGCATCTTCCATGACAAGCTAAATGAATGAAACTCTTAGACGAATCTTAGCTGGCATTCAACATTTTGTATTGCACTTTTGTTTTCATTTTAAAATCAATGAATTATTTTTTCAGATATGTCTCAATTAATTCATATAATAATATTTGTACTTTCACGCAACGACGTACTATGCTCGATTAAATGCGAGCCCAGAAATCGCGCCCGAGCGTAAAACACAAGATTGGATGGAGCGTGGTTTGGCAGCCCGTGCTCGCAAAACTTTCGCGCAAAGTACAAAATATCGCCCGTCGGAAGAGATACTGACAGGCCACAAAAATAGCGCCCCCAAGCTCCCGGGAGATGAACGTTTCCGGTATTATTGGCGCCAACTTCCGCCGAGTGGAATGAACCACGACGCACTTATCAAATTGGATTTTAACTAAACGAAATTGATGTTGCAACACAGAGTAGAAGCCGACACTTTCCAAATGAGTGCAACGAACATTTAAAAAAGTGTAACACAACCATGAATTGATGAGCATGACAATAAAGCGCGCTCGTATCATGTCGTACTACCTTTACATATCATATACACCGCCGATCATATGTTTAATGACGTCTTGTAAAATATGGAGTCAGTCAATAAGAATTATCATTTAAGACAGTAAAACTGACTGATTCTATTAAAACCCTCGTAAAAATGAATTGATAATACATTGATTCAATAAATTTCTTCAAATAAAAGATTCATACTCAATGTCTTCTAATGAAAGACAAGAATTGTCAATATAATCTCTGATGATAGCAAATGTTCGTAGATTATATTTATATGATGAATATCGTGTGAAGTTTACTTAATAATTAATGATTTCATGTACTTACTGTGCATTCACCGTCGATGCAAACATCTGTGCCATCGATATAGCATTTGGTTCCATCCTCGACTTTTTCTGCAAGCTGGACCACAATCGTTTCTTCGCTGTCGAGTTGCAAAGCCTCGGTGGCATCGCGCGGAAGCACCTTTTCCACGGACGTTTCCTGCTTGATCTCGGGCCCGGTGTTCCCCAGCGATTGTTCGCCGCGGCAGATCAAAGCGCACGGCCTCACCGGGTTGTAATGTGGATACCATTTCAACAGTTGCCCGCTGTATGGCACGTCGTCGAAGGCGGCGCATTGCTCGGCCCGGAAATCGGTTGGGTTCTCACAGGGCTGCAATCAAACAGAAGGATTTTGTCCTTAAACGGTTCCCTTTGGACTGAAATGTTGACGTTATTTCGAGAAAATCGAGCGACGGTTTACGAATTGAGAAAATAGGAATTCTACCACCAAGGATTAATTCTATTGGTGGTAGAAGGAAAAAGCTGGGAAGTGCAAACATTTGTCCGCACGCTTTTGTAAAATCATCAAGAATAATTAATCACGTTTAGTTAATGTTAGTTAAAATGTAATTGAATACAATATGAATACAACAATTATGTTTGGATATATTAATACACCTTTTAAGTCAGTTAAACATTTTAGTTGGCAAACTAACTATCGCATTGTTGAAATGTGTAATTTGCGGATTGTCCGTATTTCATTTAAAAATATTTGACAAAGCGAGCACGGAGTTACAAAGTAACTCGCGTGTTGTTTCCATTCTATTTCACATGCATTATTTCCGCGTGGTTTACTTGTTTCACGTTTCATTGGTTTCGATATCTCTCTCATTTCGAAGGAATTAACGCACTGAGTACGCTTAGATAACAAATTGGTTTGTCGAAACATCGTTATAGATGAGACGAGTTTAAAACGTGGTAAACGAGAGAGATTGACGACGGACAGGTAGGTGTTTCGTTTGCGCTTCGCAACTAGAGACGAGCCAGTCAACATGTTCGATCGTGCCAATGGCCGCTAATTATCGACGTAATTAACGTGACTGATAATCAGATCGGATATGGCTCGAGGGCGTTTCGATTGTACGTTTTTGCTTGGCGCGACCAGCGACGAGGAACGATGTAAATTGATCAGAACGAAGGGTTCATAACCGTCAACCGACAGTCGTTCATTATCGTCTGTATATCCTAGTCGCTCACCCCGCAGTCGAATAGAGAAAGAAGCAAAGGAGGATTATATTAATTATTTTAGTCAATGATTAAATCGTTACGTTTCCTTTTTCAAGTCTTTTGTAGCCAAATAATTATTTTTATTCGGTCTCTGTATTCGTCTTTTTTCACTTTTTCTTTAAATAACAAGATTATCTTTAATATTCAGAATAGAATTGTTTGTGAGGATCATTCTGTTACAAACTATCGAATACTGCTAAGGTGTAATCGAGTTATTCGCCGATAGTTCCTAACGCAATGAGAACTTTTGGATTCGTGGTGGTATGTTAGATACAGAACTGAGTTGCGTTCCGTGCATTTGAAACTTCTCAAGCTATGAACTAAGTTTCTTCGATTACTAAAACTGATTAATTTATAACGAATTAGCCAATTGTAATGTATTTTAAGCAATTTCTCCAGCACTCATTTCATATTCAACCTTTACTGTATAAAGATGAGTCGTGCTCTCACCAATATTATTTTGTTTATTTGAAAAAATAGCTTCACGAATCTATTTTTTCTGAAATATTTCGATTTCTGTACGAAGTAGATCGAGTAGTGCTATTTAAATATTTTTCAGATTTTGTTAATAATTTAGACACTTAGAAAAAAACGTGTCAAACACAAATGATTCACCTTTAAAACAGTAAGATGCCAAAAATGTTTATACAGGTTCAACAGTAAATTAATTTCTATATGTACATACTATCTACTATGGGCATCTATGTACACGTATATGTATAGTGAATAAAAATTTGGATCAACGAGGGCAATAAGCTTTTTATGACATTATTTACCCTGGGGAAAGAGAAATGGTCGCTAAATACACTTTCGCCTGTTAAATGGAAATATTTCACGAATGAGTTTCATGCTTATTGCCGGACACGTATATTTCCATTTCTATAGAAAACTTTCTATTGCATGCTCGGCTGTTTTTCCACTAATTATTCAATTGAACGGTGACTGCGAACACATAGCCAAGAGATTTTGCACGATGGCCTCGTCGTTACGACTCGTGGTGATCCTCGTGTGTGTTCCGCGTTGTTGATAGAACGCCGGTTGATTTTCAACAACGGGGACATCAAAGTTCCGTGTCAGTTTCCGCGTTCTAACGAAGCTGATTAACAACGGTGCCAATGGTAATTAATTAGCGCGCTGCGCCAACTGTAATTTAGTTAAATCAGTTTCCGGTTATTTCTGTCGCGATTACGTAATAGCTCCTTCGTTTATTCGCGTCGGCCACATTGGGAACCGAGCGTCGAATTCAATTATAATCTGAATGTTGAGTTCTGTATATTTCAAAATCATTAAATTTCTAATCTGTTCACTTTTAAGAGAATTAGAATCGTTTCAAAAAAGATTAAAGGTCAATGATTAATCGAATGTACATACAATATAATAAATTACCGAAGTCGCACATAATGTCATTTCGGTAATCTGTTTTCTCATCGTCGATATCGTAACTATGATTAAATGCTGCGACAGGGGAGGAGTATAATATGTTTATGAAATCGATGGCCCGTAACGTTTCCGATGGGACAACGGATGGACAAATTGCCTGCAGCAATATTTTTTTCATCTTTATCTTTCGTTTGATATTCATCTTTATGCACGAAAAATCTACATTATTCACCATTCGTCTTATGTATTTAATTTATGCCATCCATAATTTACTGTTTAATTTGCATACGCGATCTGCTTTAAATGATATGCAAAAAGTTTCTGTTCATTATTATTATCAGTCTGCTGATTGTTATGCAGATTAATTCTCATACGCATATTCAAGAAAATGGAATTTTGGATGTCCTTTATTAAATTTAAATAAAATTAGACTTAAATAATAAATAATATATACTCTCTCTCTGCTTCTGCTACTTCTTTGTTATGTATACTTCAAACAACATTACATATTTTTGCACACGCAAAGAAATGCTCAGACTAATTATGGTTCTCATATTTTATTAAAATGAATCAAGCACAGTACTTCTGGTGAATAATTTTTTTTGCAAATTCGACACGCGCGAAATTATTCTGAAAACAATCGTATTCGATCTTCGACGAAAATGAATAGAAAATATCGTTCAGGCGAACATTTTCCAGCGAAAATTGACTCCATCAATGGAAAACCTTTTTCCTTCAAACGCGCAGCCGGCGCGGCGGAAGGTTCTCGCGCTGGCTTTTCCATTTTTTGCCGGTTCGTTTTTGCACGGAAATCCCCCTCGTTTTATTTCACCCTCTATATTTATCTGTCCTTTCTCCCGCCAACCTTCGCATCTATAGCGTTCTCGTGGTACAACGGCATCGAATTACCTGGCGATCCATCATTTCCCGCATCCGGAATGCAAACGCTACTTACGGGACACCTGTTACTGCCCGTTATAGGTCGATGAAAAATTCGATGCAGCGTTGATAAAAAAAAAATTCTGGTATGAAGCTCGAAGATTTTGTGCTATAAAATGTAAACAGGCAATTTCTTGCATAAATACACCATCGCTAGTGTCCAGATGACTCGCTTTGGGGCACAGTTGTAATGAACACTCATATTAATGATTAAATGAACTTCTATTTTATGAACGTCTGTCCGCAGAATATTTACAAAACATCTTATAAAAGGAATTTTCTTTTATCCATGGAACAAGAGACGGAATTGGATACTCACAGATTAAGGATGTATTAGCTATACAGTCAATCCCAAAAGTTTATGCACTGTAGAAACGCATTTTTTAAAAAGAAATGCTATGTACATTAACAGCGCGTAGCCTGGACACTTTTGTCTGTCATTTGAAAGAATTTCTGTCCTTAGAGCGTGGTTGTTATTTAGCTCTAGCGTCGGTGAAAGTAATTTTCACGGGATGAAAGAGGGGTGACGGAGGGTCTCCTCGTATCCGGTCGTTCACTTTTCCTACGTTTACGCAGACACGCCCTCGCCGTTTTAACCCTGACGAGGTCGCTTTAAATTCTTAATACCCCCAGGGATTATATCACAATTATGACAATGGAATTCAACCAACCCATGTTAACATACTATTACTCGCTTCTGCTGTAATAATTATTAAACACAAATATTATTCAAGAAGATGGAATTTCAAGACTGCTGTTCAGAAACAAAGGACTGACGACTGCGTTAACGTTGATGGAAGCACACACACACCACTAAATTTTTTAAATATTCTTTCGTTCTACATTACATGTATTATATAGATTTACATATACAAGTATTATAGGTTTTCATTCTAATTGTTAGTAGTAAGCGCTTAAATTTTACAGTTAGTAAAAGTATTTATTTTTAGTAAAGTGTCCATCTAAGAAAATTGGGTATAAAAAAATACTTTAAAAATGTACCATCCTTTATACTTTCTGTATCCTTTTAGAAAGAGTCACAAGATTGAAGGATAAATATTGTCGGGACCGAGGCTGTTCTATCAAAGACAGTCCATGAAGGATGTCGCGAGGGCTTGTATTAGCCATTGTTTCCGGTTCAGACAGTACGGCGTAATCGGTTAAAACGTGATGGCAAATGGCCGCCGGGTATTTCAGAGGATGTAGAAACGTTGCCGCGTAATGAGTAGTTGAGATTCCTTGCTAAGGAGCGTCTCAACTGTGCATTGCGGCTTTCGCGGTTCCCGACACGGTTTCCCCGTTTCGCATAGTTTCCTTCCCTCTTTCCGCATTTCGTCGTCTCGACATCGGAATCAAATTTTCAAACATCATTTACACGAGTCGTTTTTGTCGACGATCGACGATCAACGATCAGAAAATCCGTTTACATTATATCATATACAAGTAGATTATATTCTTGGAAGTGTTGAAGTCTTCAACTTGTTTTATGGATGAATAATTTTGAGGCGGAATTAAAAATTGAATGTGGGAAAGAATGTTAGAGAAAAAGTAACGGCTTTATGTTTGCAATAACAAAATTCTTAATTATAATATTTAATATTACATGATTGTGAACTAATGCTGGACATCGATGTTCAATAATTGCCCAACTCTTTAAGAATTCGTTTCAAGATATCAGCGCGGCCGAGAACAGCAAAAGAGAAACACAATCGTGATACAAATTACTCGCGGAGCGTCGTTTCAAAGTATAAGAAACGCGACGGAAGGCACGGGAACCACACGACG